CACCCCACCCACTCCGCCGGGAAAAACCCTCCTCGTCTTGGCCACCCGGCAATTACACAGATGATCGTTTTTCGTATTGGCAGTAAGGTTCTTTGCCTTATTAAGCCGACTGGAAACCCAATCATGGCTCAAGGTCGCCCCGACTGGACGTTCTAAGCCAAGTCGGACGCTTTAATGACTTTGGTCAGAACACTCGAACTCGAACTCGAACTCCAACTCGGATCCGAATCCGAATCCAAATCGTTACGTTTCATTCGTTTTCAATTTAAATCGCGTTAGCACGCCCCAAAGTCTTGCAAACAGTTTAAATAATTTGACTATTAGAATTTGGCCAAGTCTTTTTGCGTGGCCAATTCTAATTTGGTTTTATCCAGTTTGGGTTCATGTACGCACAGAGGCTTGCAGGTTTAACCGGTATTAGCCTTAGCCTTTCGATTCCAAGGTGATTGGTACTATATTAGATCGCTTATTAGTAATCGATCAATTGCTTTTTTTTGTGAAAGTATCAACGGGACCGCATATTTCAGTTCGCCATTTACGCACAAACATAATGCTTCCGGATGGGGATTGTTTGTTCAGAATATTTGAAAGGTTACCGGGGGCGAAATAGGTTTTGACCTTAATGGTTTGGTTATTGTTTGGGTTCTTTGTCTAAATTGAACCCGCAAAAGTCCTTGAACTATTGCATTAAATATTTGACTCTGATCTGGTGGGTTTGAGTCACTTGAAGAATTATAAATTATTTTAAGTATTAAGAGGTTTAGTTTTATTTATAAACTTGTTGTTCTATTATAGTTACGGCAATTCGACAACTAAATTTATGGGATCATTTTCACATACCATGAATGATTTTAATGCATTCATTACAATTTAGCACCGTTTCTTGCTGGCACACACTGTTTTATGGAGTCTTTATGAGTGTTCTGAGCGCCAGCGGCCGCTAATAGATTCATGATCATTTGAATAACCGCCAAAGTCTTCATTATAGTTTAGTACTCGAGGCGACGTCTACAACTACTGCACTTAGCCTGCAGTGTGCTGGCCACTAATCAACAACATACTTGATTATACACAACACATTTGAATATTTATGGCACATTACGTGAATTACTGAGCTAAGCCGAGCTCAACTGCGGATGCCATAACCAAAGCCATGGAGCCGATGTTGGCTCGCCTTGGCTTGTTTGGGTTTTCGAGGGAAAACCCATTCAAACTTTCGAGGGAAAATCAAAAATGTTCACTCACCTGGCCTCCACATCCAAGCCATCCAATTCTGGGACATGGCACCAATGCTGTTCGGGTATCAGGGTTAGAAAGATTTGCGAAAAGTAGACAAAGGCCACGAAGAACGAGAAGGGAATCATGCAGATGAACAGGAACTTTTGATATCTTCCAAACTCCCCGATCAAGGGGAGGATGTCATCAAAGTCCAAATTGGGAGGATCCCCTCCGCCTCCACCGCCACCAGCTCCACTTCCTATTGCATCCTGACTTTTCTTGAAGCCGTTCAAGTCCAGCTGGAGTTCTTTGTTGCCAGCACTCTTCCGGCGATGCAGATTATCCAGGCCCTGGGAGGGCTCTTCGTGACTGAACGCCTCATTGACGAAGTACGCTTGCTTTGCCTGGCCTTCCATGTTGTGTGTTTGGATTTGGATTCGCAATAGCACTGTAGACCGCGACCTTGCTGGATGTGTGTCACTCCAAGTGATTCAGAACTCGACAAAAATCCGAAGCCGAAACCGAAACCAATTCAAAATCCAAATACTTGATCGAATTCGATTGCGGCGGACACGCGCGTTTCCGTTTCGAATTTGCAACTGACTGAGCACGCGCGCCAAAAGCCGTTTTTATATGAGCCCGGCCAAGAAGCCCGGCTCGCAGCTCGCAAGCCGCTGCACTTGCCGCTTGCCAAGAACAAGAAACCGATCCGGTACGATACGATACGATCCAGCCATCCGGCGATCCAGCGATCAGCAGCGAAAGTTTGAGCAGCTGTTCGGCGTAGGTTCACACAGCTGGCAAACCGGTTCACTGGATCGGTTCTCTGTTTTTTTCTGAATCGGCCTGACATCGGTTTTCGACCAGGCGAGCCCCAAACGATCTCATATCGGTTCACGATCTTATGGCACTTATTGCTTATTTTTAAGCCTGCCGACATCCATGACTCCTTCAAAAAAATGCTCGTGCCCATCTTTTGGGCCCAGCTGGACTTTATTATTAGCCCCCCAAAAAAACGGCAGTAGAATGTGGCTGTGATTCATGCCCAAAACACTCGGTGTGATTGAGGAAATTAGTAAAAAAATGTATTTGTTATATTTATATATACGTCACAGCCCATTCATAAATTGAGCCGAGAGGGGATTAAACTCGCCGACAGATCACAGGCCATCTAACAAAACGAGTTTACGAGATTTGATAAAGATAATGGTGATTGGCAGGGGGGATCAGGTGGAGAGGCCTTGGAAGACAATGCCGCAATTTGTTAAAGCTTCACAGTTAATTTTTTTCAATTGTTTTTTAAAGAGTTTATTATATTTTAAATTATAAAATTAATTTCACAAGAAGTGTAAAATGTGTGTGACCAACATGTAACTTCGAAACTTTCCAAACTTTATTTATACTTTTAATTAGCACTGGAATTCGCAACTGAAAAATATTGACTTGGTTTCCTTTAATAGACGTTTTTATTGTTTATCTCATAACAGAACCGTAAACTTTTCCAGAAGAATTTTTCAAAGAATATTAAACTTACAAATTAACAGCTTCATCCTAATTCAAAATCTTATTTCGCCATTTTTTGAAAACAATTTTCACAGATTTCACAATTTTTTGAAAACAAAAATCATTTGCAATGGAAAATTTTATTTTCAGGGCATTATTTTTATCATATTTTTGCTAATTGTTTGGTCTAATAATATTATTGATGAAAAATAAACCTCCTTTGAGGTTTCTTGCGCATGCGCAAAAGTTTCACTTCATTTTTCTTCTCGAGAGGACAATCAAAAAACGAACCTGTTTTAATTTACAAAACAAATATTAACACATTTTTGAAAACTTGCTTATCTTATTTATTAACACATCCTAATTAATCTGTCTAAGCCGTAAAAAGAAAATACCAAACTCCTTAAAAAGGCACACATTCAAGTGATTTACAATTCACTTTAATTATTATTCTTATCCTACGTGTTTATATTTATTCGTTGCGGTAATTATCAGGACGTATACATTACTTAACTGTTAATTTGGTTAAAATTAAATTTTGATGTGTTTATGTTTGGTTATCTTATTTATTTACAAATTGTCGTGTGTTCGATTCGAGATACGCATGTAACTTTGAGGGGGCGGTGGCGCATGTTTGCATTTATATTAATTATGGAGTCGCACCCAAATCAAATAATTTTGCTTCTCATTACAACTGAACACAAAATTATTGTTCTCTTGACCGCTGCCGCTTCAAACCAGTTTAATCTCGCTTTATAAATTAAATTTTTATAATACACTTGCTAAGTGTATGTAACATAAATTTGATTAGGACTTTGCCGCTCATTTCTGTTATGATATTTTTATCTCGCGAGGATATTTGGAAACTGGATCAGTATTTGTTCAAGATTTAAGTACATTTTAAGTAGTCACGATTTAAAGAAAATTAATATAAAGATTATGATATTAACAATGCTATTTACTTATGATATCTATAGAGTGTATTAAATTATTCGATTCTCTGATTAAACCTGGCCCCCTTGTTTGGTTTTTATTTATTCAACTATTTTTATTTTTTTGTTACATTTTTATAGTTTGCTACGCATTTAATGTTTTAATTAGCTCTGCTTTGGAACGGCTTCAAGGATTTTTTCCATTTGTTTTTTTTGTTCAGCCTAACTAAGTGTATCTATCAGCGTTTGTTGGCCAGTTAATAGAACGGCTATTGAGCAGATTTATAACGAGATAGTGCCATATGGCTAATTTGGACTTTAAGCGCCTGGCAGGTGTCATTTGAATTGAATAATATTTAGAAAGCCGTGCTAATTAATTGGCCAAATATGTCCTTCTATGGCAGCACTCGGAGAATCTCTTCTCCGTAAAGTCGTAGACATTGTTGAGACGGCTTTTGTTTGGACTCGGATAACTTCGACACCTCGACCTTCAATTGAACAAACAAAATTGTTATATTAAACCGTTTCCGTTTTGATTCATTTTTCGCTTAGTTTTCTGCTTTTGTTTAAGCTTTTTTTGTTACTTATTTTATTTCCATTTGGCTCCATGAGTATTGAGCTTTAATGAGTTTGGAAGTTGTTTTGAAAATACCGAATACCGAACCTTTTAATTGAGTTGAGGGAAGTAAACAGCCGAAGCCCCCGATGCATCGGGCCTGCTTAGCGTTATGACATCACATAATGAGTCGGCAGGAAGCTCACGTTCGATCAGCCCGTCCACTCATGCCATGGGCACCTCGAAGTGCGATTTGGCGGGATACTCGTGGCATTGGATTCTATAAATCAATTCCTCAAGCCGCATTCGTAATCAAACCTGGGAATTTTCTATCTTTGGTAACACATCGTTAAAAGTTTCTTGATTGTGTTATCAAAAGATAGTACTCTTGATTAACTTCAGGAGATTTCTAAATCTTGAAAATAGCAGAAAGTAGCTAGTTTTTTTTTGCATTATTTTGTAATTTTCTGTTATGGTTCCACCCATTATTGATCTCCACCGCCGTGGGCTCGTCATCACTGCCCTCGATAAGAGCACTTTTAACTGATAAATCCAAACATGATTAGGCACTATTATCTGCGCCATTTCAATTCACAACTTTATAATAAAACCTTATCGCCAAGAAGTAATCGATGATCGGTAGCATCGTCTCCAATATGAGTTTAGGCCCATAGACGATCGTAAATCACCATGGTTTATTCCGGGCCGGGGCAATCCACAGCAGATAGTCCATGATATATGATCCCTGTTTGCGCATCGGAATCGGTATAAAAGTGCTCCGATTATTGGCGGACGACTTAGTTGCGATCAACATGAAATTCGCGTGTGCTACGGTTTTGCTTTTGGCCACCATTTTGGGAGCCCAGGCTGTCGACTGGAAGTCGGTCGAGAACCGCAACATTGAGGTTCCGGCTCCGAATCTCCGTGTGGGAAGTGTTGGTGGTCCCAATGGAAGGATTACCGGCGGACAGCTGGCCGTCGCCAAGCAGTTCCCCTACCAGGTCGGACTATTGCTGTACATCACCGGAGGAGCTGCCTGGTGCGGTGGCACCATCGTCAGCGATCGCTGGGTCATCACCGCTGCCCACTGCACGGACAGTCTGACCACCGGCGTGGATGTCTACTTGGGTGCCTGGGATCGTACCAATGCCAAGGAGGAAGGCCAGCAGATCATCTTCGTGGAGACCAAGAACGTGATTGTGCACGAGAACTGGCAGGCGGATACCATTACCAACGACATTTCTCTGATCAAGCTGCCCGTGCCCATTGAATTCAATGGTGGGTGAAATAATTCACAACTAAAAGTTCCCGATTAAGAGATTACCCCCTTCCGCAGAGTTCATCCAGCCCGCCAACCTGCCCCTGAAGTCCAGCAGCTACAACACCTACAGCGGCGAAGCGGCCATTGCCTCCGGCTGGGGCAAGATCAGCGACTGTAAGTGACCTTGTTGAAACTATAAAGTGTTTTGTTTCGTCGTGCTTACTCTTGTAGAAAGTTTAAAACGTAATCACATCACCATATTCATAAAAAAAAAATACTTAGAAGTGTGAAAAGTGTTAGTGAAATGAATGATGACCGTAAAATTTGGAAATAAGTGAAAAATTAACGTTATGCTTATTGAAATATAATTTCCTAACATGATAGCTTTGCACTTTTGTAATCAAATTTTAAAAATTTGCAAAAATATTTATGAAATAATGAATCATATGATCAGAACTTTTCCTTTTAATGAACTTATCAACAAATCGAATTCGTTATTTGTTTGTTGTTGATATTGATAAGATTTGACCTTTGTATTTAATTGTTAGATTAACGAAACATACTAATCCATGATATTTGAACCATCTTTAATTATTAATATTTTTTGTTTAATCGAATAGCCGCCACTGGAGCCACCGATATTCTGCAGTTCGCTGAGGTCCCTATCATGGCCAACAGCGGCTGCTCTCCCTGGTATTTGGGCCTGGTTGGTAGCACCAACATCTGCATCAAGACCACCGGCGGCATCTCCACCTGCAACGGCGACTCCGGCGGCCCCCTGGTCTTGGCCGACGGCAGCAACACCTTGATCGGAGCCACCTCCTTCGGCATCGCCTTCGGCTGCGAGGTCGGCTGGCCAGGAGTGTTCACCCGTATCACCTCCTACCTGGACTGGATCGAGGAGAAGACCGGCGTGGCCAACTACGGCAACTAAACGCGGCTATTCGAGCTTAAAATAAATGTTTATTTTTGGATTACAAGAAATAGAACTCGTGTTCTGCAGACTGTGGGCGGGTGCGGGTTCGATGAGTGACGATTTCGGAGAGATCCTCTTCGGAAATCGGATTAGGATGAACATCCAGTTCGTCGGGGACATCGTCGTCTGGCTGCTCCTCGGTCTCTAGTCTACGGCTCTGCCTGGGCTTCCCATACTCCCGTACGTACTGGTCAAAGAATATCGCCTCCGTGGTGTCCTGGTGAGAGCTGACGCCTGTCTCGTCGCTGATCCAATCCAGATATGAAGCCACCTTGGTGAAGGCTGCCGGGTATCCCCGGTCGCAGCCATATATACTGCCAAACGATGTGATGCCCACCAGCACCCGTTTCTTTGAGTGTCTTCGCTGGAGAACCAGAGGTCCTCCGGAGTCACCGTTGCAGGTTGATCGGGAATTCCGACCACTGGTGCAGATATTAGTTCCGCGATAGGAGAGCGGAAAGTTGGACTTGCATGTCCTTCCGTCAATGATTTGTAGTTGAACGTAGCGGAGCACGTTGCTGATGGCATGCACCCCGGTGGCGTAGCGACCCCATCCCGAGGCGATAGCCAGCTTGTTCTTAAAACTGCGGTACTCATAATGGCGCTTGGGCAGTTGGATGGGATGGATGCGCTCTGGGGAAACAAGTTTTCAAATTAGGAATGGTTTTACCACAAAGATGATAGTATCTCACCATTAAAGCTAACTGCATGCGGCAATCGCACTAGGGCAATGTCGTCCTTCAGCCTTTTGGGATTCCAGGTGGGATAGATTTGGAAGTTACTGCTGGGAACCATCAGACGCACCTGACCCTTCTCCTTGGCATTCTTGATCTCATTGGCGCCCAGGAAAACTAGAGCCCGCTTGGCCCTGTGGTAAGAAAACACATAAATTAAAATACCCTACAGTCTCTTCTTACCGGTCCTACATGTCCACGCAGTGGGCGGCGGTGAGAACGTACTGCTCGGAGATGAGTGAGCCTCCACACCAGTACAGACCTTTGGGTCGCTGCAGGAGCATGCCCACCTGGTAAGGGAAGCAATGGGGGTTTCCCACGTTTCCGCCAAAGATCCGATCCATGGCCATGGCGCCCTCCGGCAGCATCTTCTCCAGCAGCGGCGTTGTCTCCAGATTCAGTACGAGAGGCTCGCGTTCCTCGAGGTCCTCTTCGCTGAAACCACCGGCTCCGTCATCCTTGATATGGCGACTCTCCACACTGCTGGCACTCATTTCCGCGTCGTGTTCGAGGGAACCGGAAAAGGGGGACGTGGAGGAGAGGGAGGAGGACGAGGAGGTGGAGAGACCGAACGGACCCGGGTACATGGAGACCAGGTACATCGGCTTAACCTGTTGCCAGTCCAGCGCCGACGCGACACCGACACTGCCGAGGCAGTGCAGCGTGAGGCATGACCAGGTGAACCACAATGCCACCTGACGGCGATCTGTTAAAGTGGCTCTTTCAGTTTGTTTGTACATTGGCGTTGCTTTGCTTGCGCACGCATTTAATTATTAATTATGATAGGAGTTGCTGGCACTAATGCTCTTGTGTTGATTACGCTGCTTTCACCGCTAACTGTGCTTCCCCAGCATGGCTTCCTGTTTAACGGATTCTTTTGAGTCGGAAACGGAAAAGGATTTTCCCTGGACAAACTTTTCAGGCCTAGGACTGCTTTTTCAAGTTAGAGTTCGTATATGGTGAGGTACATTTATGTAGTTAACGTTTAAATTGAGGTTTAGTTTTTTAAAAATAAAAATATAGGGTTATATACTTTAAATTCGATCTTGGCTATTGCTTCTGAATATGTTCTTTTTTAATCCATTGAAAATGGCGTTTATCCACTTCCGCCTAGGCTGCTTTCTTGGATGGCTGCCAAGTCCTACGGTCCTTCTGGCACTACTAAAAGCATTCTAACACTAGTTTTTTGAATTTCCTGTTTCCTTTCAAATTTCGTACACTTCCTTGACTTCCTTGGCTTCCTCTTTCAATGCCTCTCGCCGCCAATCCCCCTCGCCCACTTGACACCGGTGGTCAGTCTGTTTTCCCGCTTCGAAAAGCCGTTACGCTGGTTGCTGGACACTTCACTTGTAACCGCCTGTAAATGTAATCGCTCCGTCGTAATCTGCGGCTTGTTGTAGTGCTTTCTTCGCGACTCGTTAGCAAACTGCGCCGGCGCGCTGGTTGCCAGCATTTTTATAAACTCTTTCGCCAACAATTTCTGTGCGCGAACCAAGAGGCGCCTGAATTATTTCATCTATTTGACTGCATTCGGCTTTTTAGCGCACAATTGCAGTTGCATCAATTTCATTTAATTTCCCTAAGCCATTCATTTCTCCGCACTCTCTTTCTGGTCTCTTGTGGGTCTCTTGGCCCCCTGGTGTTTCTCTCTGTTACAATTGGCCCTTTCCCTGTCACAAATGTCAACTTTTCGTCAAAGTTCGCCCTTTAACTTGGCGTCTGGAAGTCCGCATTTCAGTCGCGAAATAAAATTTGGTGCCGCATAAGTTACATTTCAGATGGTGTATTTCGGCTTGTCTTTGTGGTTTTGCCATTTAAATTGAATGCGAGAGGCTGTAAGCTGTAACTCTAGTTATCTGCCTGCTTTGGCGCTATTACATCATGATCACTTCTCGCTCAATCTTCATTATGCATTCGCATGTTGATGGAAGTATCTGTCTGCACGAGAGTCTTTCATTGAGAAAAAGGCACAAACTTGTTGGTGTTGTTGCTCTTATTGTTGTTGCAATTGTTGTAAGTGGTAAGTGAAACAATAACATTCGCAGTTACAGCTCGTAGTTCATTTGCATGCACTCTTCTTCAACTGAGGGATAAGGTACAATTATATTTCTAATTGGAAAATAGTAACATACTTTTCCTAAAATTATTTTAAGTTTTTTTTATCATATTGCTTAAAAGCTTAGCACCTTTTTTCTACGTTAAGTCTTTAAATATATTTATTTATTTAATATCTAATACCTCGTAGTTACCTGTTCCACTGTATCAGGTCACATTTGAATAATTTTTGACTTCCCATTTCAAATATGAGTGCAATATGAACAAGCTAACTACTTTGCAGAGTCTGTCGATCTCAAGGTTATTGCCAGGGCAAGTTATTCCTTAAAGGGCTGAATAAGGGGAAACTATGGGACTCCACCAGTTGGTAGTAAACAATTTAACAGTTTTTCATTCAGTTGCATGCCACATTAAATGGCATGCGAAAAATTCTTAGCAGGAAATGAATATAAAATATATGTACGTACGTTAGTTTGGTTAATTAAATTAATTCGTGCACCGCCCGCCTGTGTCTGAGATAATCAGTTTTATTTGGTGTTGAAAGTATTTCTGTTACCTGGCAATAGCCATTGTTGTCGATTTAGGAAATTACTGCCACAGCTACTGCGGTCTGTCTGCTTAGCGAAGCAGATAAATCAAATCGTCTCGAGCTGGCCGTAGTGATATGTTCGGATCGAATCAAATTGGATCGGTTTGGATCGAAGCCGAGTGTAATGAGGCTGCCACAACAACACCGAATGGCAAACAACATGATTATGCAAATGTCTGCACCGCCACTTCGCCACCGCCACCGAGTGGTTCCCCCCTTTCATATCGATGCGGTGGTGCGTCGATAGTCGCTGCATAATAGCTCACCACCCGTTGCCCGTTGCATGTTGCACTCATTAATAATGGGTACGTTTTTGTTACTGCATTTTATTGCACTTGCTAATCACGCTGCACCGTTATTTAATTTAGCACCACCCGGCTCGCACGCTCCCCCACTTGTAAGCCAATAATAGCCACCGTTTTGGACATCTGCTCGGTGCGTTTCGCTTCCTTTTTGTGTGGGCTTACTTACTTTATTGGGTTTTTATTGCTAGCCCTAGTTTCCGTTGGTAAAGTCTGATTTCCCGCTGAAAATTTATTAATTTATGAGAGGGGAAGAGGCATCCCGAAACAGGGAAAATGTTCAATTATTTTTTTTTATCTGAAATCGACTACTATTTCGTAAAACGGTTGCGAAATAAGCACTGAAAAATTAATTCAAATTGTATAGTTCGCCCAAATCTAAAAAATGTGAAAAATTATGTCCAAACTTTTTAAAATTTTGAAAAGTAATATCTGTATATCTCGGCTTATACTTTCCAGATCCTCAAAAGGCATATCTTCCCGATCTTAGAAATCCTAGTAGATTTATTCTAAATAAAAACCTGAGTATACAAATTTTGACCCATTTTTTGCAATTTTTCAAAGGGGTGCCATCATATTTTTGCCAAAAAATCGACCAATTTTTTATTGTTCCATTTCGTCGATATTTTGATGCAGATTGAAGACGATTCGATCTCTGATTCATATTTGGTATTCCGATTTTGAATCGGTTGCAAAATAGCTAAAATATTCCCTAAAAAGTGTATAAAAAGTTTAGATTTTGGCCAAATAAAAATTTATCAAAAATGTTGGCTTAATTTTTACATTTTTGAAGAGGAAAATTTGTATATCTCGGCTTATACGTTCCAGATCCTCAAAAGGCATATCTTCCCGATCTTAGAAATCCTAGTAGATTTATTCTTAATAAAAACCTGAGTATACAAATTTTGACCCATTTTTTGCAATTTTTCAAAGGGGTGCCATCATATTTTTGCCAACAAATCGACCAATTTTTTATTGTTCCATTTCGTCGATATTTTGATGCAGATTGAAGACGATTCGATCTCTGATTCATATTTGGTATTCCTATTTTGAATCGGTTGCAAAATAGCTAAAATATTCCCTAAAAAGTGTATAAAAAGTTTAGATTTTGGCCAAATAAAAATTTATCAAAAATGTTGGCTTAACTTTTACATTTTTGAAGAGGAAAATTTGTATATCTCGGCTTATACTTGCCAGATCCTCAAAAAGCATATCTTCCCGATCTTAGAAATCCTTATAGATTTATTCTAAATAAAAACCTGAGCATACAAATTTTGACCCATTTTTTGCAATTTTTCAAAGGGGTACAAAATAGCTAAAATATTCCCAAAAAAGTGTATAAAAAGTTTAGATTTTGGCCAAATAAAAATTTATCAAAAATGTTGGCTTAATTTTTACATTTTTGAAGAAGAAAATTTGTATATCTCGGCTTATACTTTCCAGATCCTCAAAAGGCATATCTTCCCGATCTTAGAAATCCTAGTAGATTTATTCTAAATAAAAACCTGAGTATACAAATTTTGACCCATTTTTTGCAATTTTTCAAAGGGGTACCATCATATTTTTGACAAAAAATCGACCAATTTTTTATTGTTCCATTTCGTCGATATTTTGATGCAGATTGAAGACGATTTGATCTTTGATTCATATTTAATATTCCGCTTTTGAATCGGTTGTAAAATAGCTAAAATATTCCCTAAAAAGTGTATAAAAAGTTTAGATTTTGGCCAAATAAAAATTTATCAAAAATGTTGGCTTAACTTTTACATTTTTGAAGAGGAAAATTTGTATATCTCGGCTTATACTTGCCAGATCCTCAAAAAGCATATCTTCCCGATCTTAGAAATCCTAATAGATTTATTCTAAATAAAAACCTGAGTATACAAATTTTGACCCATTTTTTGCAATTTTTCCATCACCATCATATTTTTGCCAAAAAATCGACCAATTTTTTATTGTTCCATTTCGTCGATATTTTGATGCAGATTGAAGACGATTTGATCTCTGATTCATTATTGGTATTCCGCTTTTGAATCGGTTGCAAAATAGCTAAAATATTCCCAAAAAGTGTATAAAAAGCTTAGATTTTGGCCAAATAAAAATGTATCAAAAATGTTGGTTTAATTTTATACATTTTTGAAGAGGGAAATTTGTATATCTCGGCTTATACTTGCCAGATCCTCAAAAGGCATATCTTCCCGATCTTAGAAATCCTAGCAGATTTATTCTAAATAAAAACCTGAGTATACAAATTTTGGCCCATTTTTTGAAATTTTTCAAAGGGGTACCATCATATTTTTGCCAAAAAATCGACCAATTTTTTATTGTTCCATTTCGTCGATATTTTGATGCAGATTGAAGACGATGTGATCTCTGATTTGTATTTGGTATTCCGATTTTGAATCGGTTGCAAAGTAGCTAAAATATCCTCTAAAAGGTTTAATATAGGTCACTTACAACAAAAAAGTTCATTTCGATAGGGAACATTGCAGCAAAATACTCTTAAAAGTGTTAGTCACAAACAAATTAAACAAAACGGGGCTTGAACTGTGGAATTGTGTTTAATAAATTATTTTACATTACTTTTAGAAAAATTAAATTAACAAATAATGAACAATGATGGAAAAAAAAAAAATTATATTTAATCCTTCTAAAACTTCGCTAACATTATAAAGATTACGAAGACAGTCGGCGGTATATAGATATGTATTATCGTAACTTTTATTTTTCGCTTAAGGTCTAAGCACAGAATCGTATTCTATGGCTAGATAAGTTTAGTTCTACATCCTATATACACATACATATGCTGACTTAAGATTAGATGCATCGGATGAGCTGGTGAAAAAACGAACGAAAGCCCTATCTTCATAATTGGTATCAGTACGAGTGTTTTTTGGGCACTATCAACTAGATGTAAAGTGAAATGAATAATGGTGTGTGCACATCGAATGGAACATTCAGTCTCTCTCTACTCGAATCCAGCCGGTTGCATGTGAAACTGCTGGCTGCTCAGCGTCACCGTGGTAGTTGGCAACTGGATATCCTCCATAGTCATGGAGGTCTTAGGAAGCATCTCTGAAGCGTCCCCAGATCCCGAGGCCAGCTCGCCATCATCGCCTTCCAGCATGGCGCTGTCAAAACTTTTGTTCAGGCGATCGTGGAACTCGGTCATAGAGATCTTCTTTAGGGCAAACCGTTTGCCGAATGTCTTCTTGACCTTCTGCCGTCGCTTTTTTAATAGAATCTTGTTCTTGTTCAGTCCATCGCTGAAGGATATGGCTCGTCGGAGCTTGCGTCCGCCGAACTTTACAATCCTCACTTGGTTGCTAATGGAACATTCTTCGCTGTCATCCTCCGCATCAGCGGCATTCTCATCGCTCGGCTCCTCAAAAATAGTCTCCAAGTTGGTGGGAGTAAACTTCTTCATTCGCTTACTAGTATATAACTTCTCGATGCTTTTCAGTGTCAGTGCATTGGTACTGAGTTCCTTCCGCTGTTTCTTCTTCTGCGGCTTCATAATGGCGCTGCATACCCGGTTGAAGTTGTCCTTGGATAACCGGGCGGGCATCCTGCGACGAGCCCCACCACTTCTTGAACTATAGACATACGAGCGACTAGATCCACTGAGGCAGTCGCTATCGTCGTCGTTGTCCTCGGCCCGACTCAGTTGAGAGTCTGCCTCGTCCGACGCGTTGGACACGCTGCTTACACTGTCGTCAGACTCCTCAGCCCGTGAACACCCGGGGGTGTCCTGCATCTCCTCCGTATCTGACATGGCCATGGATTTGAAGCTCCAGCAGAAATTGGCACTAGGGGCCGGCCTAACAAAGAGGAAAACAAGGGGGTGCAATCATAGGAAGAGGAAGACTGGGGGACTACTAACCTGTTCTCAGTTAGTCCTACGTCCTTGGGCTGAAAAGTGATTTTGGCAAAGTCGTAGACAATGTTTTCCATTATGTTTATCGCTGCCCCTCGCGCATTTCCTTTGATTTTAATTTCTATTTGAGGGCGTCTGTCTGGGGAAACTCGCTTTTTGCACTCCAGGGGGTAACCTTTTCTCGACGGAGACACTTCTTTAATATGCTGTCTTGGCGGTGAATTATCTTATTCAAAGAGAGATTCGTTGCGCAAAGTACCTTTTACTTTTTAACCTGTATCAGCGTCCTTAATTTTTATTATTATATTTTTTTTTTAGAGAAACAATACAAAACAGTGATGTCTTTCTAGCTCCACAATGGCAATTTACCAGTGTTGCCAGATGTCAACTTGGACTTCCCCCTAAAATCTACCGCTCCAAAAACTTACTAAAAAATCCAGATTTCCCCCTATATTCAAAAATGTGCCGGTACTTTAAAATTATTTATGTTTTTAGATAAAATTATCAAAGTAGAATGGTTAAAAAATAATTTAAAAGAATTTATGCCAGTACAATACATTTGAGAGGTTGCTGTTATGTTTGTATTGCAAACGTTTGTTTATGTTTGTAATGTTTGTTTACATTTCTGTTAAGCAGTTAGTGTTGGAAAAAACTTTATGTTTAATTTTCCCGCCCAAGTTAATTTTTGAATGTTATATTTTTACATAACAACTAATTCAACAAACGATTTCTAATGAAAATACATAGTCTGACTTTGAAGCTAGTATTATTAAATAAAGGCAAATTTAGAAATATAATTGGCAAAATGAGTGAAAATACACTTAAGGTAAATATTGTTAATTTGTTAAATACTGTGTGTTCACTAAATGATACATTCGATGAGTTTGACCCGAATAAATAGCCATGTCCATGATTTAAAACAAAGGAAACTTACTCGTTTCCTTTCCCATTAATCAAATTTAAATTATAAGTAAGCATTGATAATTTTGATGGATAGAATTATAAATTATACACTTAATTTTCTAATATATTGTGATGATAATGAGTACGCTTGAATCTAATCGAAGACGGGCAGTTCCCCACGAGCAAGACTTGAACGACTTCGTCAAGTTGCCTTAAGTTGGCAAATCGATAAAATAAAGGCTCGTCTTATCTAGGGGTTGTAAATAAACTACTAATATTGGCTGTTTCCGGCAAAACAAATGGTATAAAATCGCTGCTGATGTTTACTTAGATTCATTCAGTTTCTGTGAGCTGACTGTAAGCGAAATGAAAGTTTTGGCTGTTCTTCTTCTGGCGGTGATCGCCTCCGCTTCGGCCTTCGAGAAGCCCGTCTTCTGGAAGGACGTGCCCATGGGCAAGTCCTCGATCGAGGGCCGCATCACCAACGGATACCCGGCGTACGAGGGCAAGATTCCCTACCAGGTCGGTCTCGGCTTCAGCAAGAACGGAGGTGGCACCTGGTGCGGTGGCTCCATCATCGGTAACACCTGGGTCATGACCGCCAAGCACTGCACTGACGGCATGGAGTCGGTGACCATCTACTACGGATCTGTGTGGCGCCTCCAGGCTCAGTTCACCCACTGGGTGGGACGTGGCGACTTCATCGAACACGGCTCCGGCGACATCTCCCTGATCCGCACCCCCCACGTCGACTTCTGGTCTCTCGTCAACAAGGTTGAGCTGCCCACTTACAACGACCGTGGAAACAACTACCAGGGCTACTGGGCAGTCGTCTCCGGCTGGGGCAAGACCTCCGACGATGGTGGTGTGACCGAGTACCTGAACGCCGTTGATGTCCAGATTGGCGAGAACTCCGTCTGCGAGAGCTACTGCTAGCAACTTCTCTGGCGACCTCATCTGCATTCCCACCCCCGAGAACAAGGGAACCTGCAGCGGCGACTCCGGCGGCCCTCTGGTCCTCCACGACGGTGCCCGCCAGGTCGGCATTGTCTCCTTCGGCTCCTCCGCCGGTTGCCTGTCCAACGGACCCAAGGGAATGGTCCGCGTCACCAGCTACTTGGACTGGATCCGCGACCACACTGGCATCGCTTACTACTAAGCAATTTTCTAAATAAATTTTGAAGCTTTTAAAAACAAATAGCTAAGTCTTTTTATCCTAAGCTGGGAAATGGCCCTTGGAAATGGTTTTAAACTATAAGTCTTAAACTAAGGTTTTTTAACGATCATTTAGTTTAATGAAATTGAGAGAGAGATTGATATCTATATAAATAATACAACTGGAATATTTTAAAGGGCTTAATTAATAAATATTTTTTTCGAATCTTAGAAAGTAGTTTTATTACATGATTGTAATAAGTTAAAGTTTCAAAATAAAATAGAGTAATACGGCATAATAATCATCCCCTTTTAAATCTTAAAGATTGAAAGAAACGGTTTGTTTTTAGGTTTTCTACAAAAGGAATATTTATTTTATGATCCCGTGTTTAAGGAACATGTGTTACGGAAAACTTTCCCCCTCCTCGCACTATCTTAATAAAAAATATCACACAATTTTGAAATATCTCAGATTATTTTTATTTTAGTAGGAAATGCCTGTGTTGTCGCGGATCCAGTCCAGATAGCTGGTCACACGGGTCATTCCCTTGGGGCCGTTGGAGAGGCAGCCAGCAGCGGATCCGAAGGACACAATAGCCACCTGACGGTTTCCGTCGTGGAGGACCAGGGGACCACCGGAGTCGCCGCCACAGGAGCCCTTGTTCTCCGGAGTGGCAATGCAGACGTGGTTGGGCGTGATCACAGTGGTGCCGTAGTAGGACTCGCAGACGGAGTTGTCCGCGATCTGGATGTCCACACAGTTGAGGTACTCAGATACTCCACTGCTGTCGGAGGTTGCGCCCCATCCGGAGAGAAGGGCCCACCAGCCGTAGTAGTTGTTGTAGCGATCGTTGTAGCTGGGCAGCTCCACCTTGTTGACCAGGGACCAGAAGTCGACGTGCGGGGTGCGGATCAGGGAGATGTCGTTGTTGATCGTGCTGGTGTCGTAGGCGTGGTGCTGGACAAAGTCGTTGTGGTGCACGTAGTGGGTGTACTGGGGCTGAGAACGCCACACTCCTCCGTAGCCGATAGTCACGCCGGCGGCTCCGTTGGTGCAGTGGGCGGCGGTGAGGACCCAGGTGTGATCGATGATGGAACCACCACAGTACCAGCCACTACCGTTGCCGTTGTCAAAGAACAGGCTCACAATGTACGGAACTTTTCCCTCGTACGCCGGATATCCGTTGGTGATACGTCCGTTAATGTTCTTGCCCACGGGCATATCCTTCACGGGAACGGGCTTCTCGAAGGCGGCCACCAGGGCCAAAGCCAAAATTAGAAAAACTCCTAGCACTTTCATCGTTATAGGATTACTAACCGAACTAACTGGGGACGCCTTTATATACCCACCCGATCCCGGTCTAATCATCTTCTATGACAATCTTAAAACTTTGTAATTTATAAACCCATTCATCTGGTATCAGTTGAGAACAGGAAAACTCATATATTATTGAGTCCATTTGCACGTTAAGTATACACTGAACGAAACGGGAGCACATTTGGCTCTTTTATTTATTTTGTGTTTGGATTGTTAAGAAAGCTAACAAAGACATTTATTTATTGATTAGAGAGATATCAAATCAAATCGTTATCTTCACAATAAATCTTATCAAAAATTGATTATTTTTAACCGCAATTTAAGAAATCTGCATTAAATCTAAAAGTATGGGTAATCTTATCTTTCCAATACCTATGAATATATTTAATAAATTAAACTATATATACAAGAACTAACCTTTTAATTAATATTTAAGAAAACAACTTCAAGCTACGCACCAACTATACTAAGAATCCAGGATCTATAGGAAGTTACACGAGTAAAGGCATTCGGGTATCCCAACTCACATCCGGAACTAGCTCCGAACGATACAATTCCGACTTGGACGCCGTTGAGGACCAAAGGTCCACCAGAGTCGCCATTGCATGCGGAAACGGCTCCCTCCGTTTTTGTGCAGAGAATATTATTTGTAACAACAGCCGTTCCAAAAACATCGGAGCAGACGGTATTAGAAACAATATCAAGCAAAGCCCACTTCAATTTCTTGGCTTTAGAGCTGGAACTGTCCGACTCCCGACCGTGTCCAGAGACAATGGCTTTTTCTCCTTCATAGGTGGAATAGCTGTTGGAAACTTCGGGCAGAGCAATAGTGTTAATGATGTTGGAGACAGTCACAGCGGGGATCTTGATCAGAGAGATGTCGTTGCGCAGGAGCAAGGAACTGTAGCTGGCGTGCTGGTAGAAGTTTCTGCTGGAGACGGTTAATTTCTGTGCCGGCTTGGTGCGGACAGTTACGCCCAGGTATACGATCGCTGCCGAGGCTCTTAAATAAAAAACACATTTCTTGAGCCATGGATTACTGCATCTAGTTGTTTGGTGATTCTACTCACCCACTGGTGCAATGGGCAGCTGTCAGAACCCATTCAATACCAATAAGGGAGCCCCCACACCACCAACTGCCGGTGTTGCTGCTGAAGCTCATTCCCACCTGATACGGAAACTGGCCCTCTGTGGCTTCTTGGCCATTGGTGATGCGACCCACGATAGAGCCACTGTGCTTCATGTCCTTGGGATGGACAGGCGTTAACTTGGGCAGGATACCTGCTGAGGCCGTGGCAAAGGCCAGAAGGAAGACTACAAACCATTTCATCGTTGAAAACGAATGATTAGATTAAAGCTCCACCACAATATTTATACCCATTCCCACGACTTCTTATCGGACCAGTCCTCAAGCCTCAAAAGAGGGCTGTAAATTTAATCCCAATCTGATTGGGAGGTCCAGTTTTAGGATAAGTACGGACAGTCATCACCTGATACTGCGCTGCAATGTCTCAAGATTATTATTGCGACGCAAGTATGCTACATTAATTTTCTAGACACTTTATTTGTAATCGTTCAACGTACCGCAGTCCAAAATAGAGACTATAATTTATAACTATACTTAAGCATTTCGAGTTTATAATTGGCTTAGATTACGTTTTCCATAAACAAATTTTTGCGTTGCGCTGCAAAGTATGTTATTTTAAAAATCGAAAAATACTACCTAGAATAAGAAAGAATCATTCCCTTAAAAATAGTTAAGAAAAAACCTAGCAAATATGTTCACTTTTTTTGCCAAAAAATTACCCAAATTTGTATTGATCCAAATGCAGATTTCAATCTTTGATTTGTATTAATTAATCAATTAAATGTTGGTTTAATTTTATACATTTTTGAAGAGGAAAATTTGTATATCTCGGCTTATACTTGCCAGATCCTCAAAAGGCATATCTTCCCGATCTTAGAAATCCTAGTAGATTTATTCTAAATAAAAACCTGAGTATACAAATTTTGACCCATTTTTTGCAATTTTTCAAAAGGGGTACCATCATATTTTTGCCAAAAAATCGACCAATTTTTTATTGTGCCATTTTGTCGATATTTTGATGCAGATTGAAGACGATTCGATCTCTGATTCATAATTGGTATTCCGCTTTTGAATCGGTTGCAAAATAGCTAAAATATTCCCTAAAAAGTGTATAAAAAGTTTAGATTTTGGCCAAATAAAAATTTATCAAAAATGTTGGTTTAATTTTATACATTTTTGAAGAGGAAAATTTGTATATCTCGGCTTTTACTTGCCAGATCCTCAAAAGGCATATCTTCTCGATCTTAGAAATCCTAGTAGATTTCTTCTAAATAAAAACCTGAGTATAAAAATTTTGACCCATTTTTTGCAATTTTTCAAAGGGGTACCATCATATTTTTGCCAAAAAATCTACCAATTGTGCATTTTGTCGATATTTTGGTGCAGATTGATGGGGATTAGAGCTCTAATTTAAAAGTCGTGTGCAGGTTTTGAATCGTTTACGTTTAGTTAAAACATTTAGTATTTTGACAACATATTTTGATTATTTGATTATTATCCAATTTATAGTAAAGCCAAAGCTTTGACCTTCCTTGAAAAACCCAATAACAATATAAATATTAATTTTCTTGTATTCAATAGTCGATTTTATTAAAAGCTTGGTGCTTAGATACCAGAGTTGGTCTTGATCCAATCGCGGTAGTAAGTGGTGCGAGTGAAACCGGCAGGGGAGTTGGATTCGCAGCCGGCGCTGGACACAAACGAGGTAACACCGATAAGGACACCGTTGCTGGCCAGGACCAATGGGCCGCCAGAGTCGCCGTTGCAGGTGGAAATGGACTTGACAGTCTCAATGCAGATGACACCGCTGGTGATAATCAGAGAGCCGTAGGTACCCTGGCAGACAGTGTTGGTAATGACGGTGGCATCCATGTAGTTAAGATGGTTGGCCACAGAGGTAGCGGCATCAGAGATCTTTCCGTAGCCGGAGGCGATGGCAGTCTGGCCGGCGTAGGTCGAGTAGGAGCTGGACACCTCGGGCAGGGGCACGTTCTTGATGTTGCTGGTGTAGGTGACATAGGGAGTCTTGATCAGGGAGATGTCGTTGCGCAGGACCACAGAGTTGTAGCTGGCGTGCTGGATGAAGTTGGAGCTGGAGACGGTATGGCTCAGCTTGGGGCTGGTGCGCACAGTGGCGTCGTAGTAGATGGTCACGGCAGAGGCACTGCATCAAGGAAATAAATTCATTAATAAGGTAATCGAATTGAATATTTGGACTCTATTTGGAGAGAAAAGTTTATAGAGACTTAAAAAAATTACTCACCCGCTGGTACAGTGAGCAGCAGTCAACACCCATTCGTTGCCAATGATGGATCCACCGCACCACCAGCTTCCGCTGGAGCTGGCGAAGCTTAGTCCGACCTGGTAGGGGAACTGTCCTTCGGCGGCGGCCTGGCCGTTGGTGATGCGACCCTCGATCGAGGAAACAGCGGGCAGGAGACGGGGCTGGATGGGCACCGCACGGGGAATGATGGGCACCGCACGGGGCTGGATGGGCACCTCACGGGGCTCGATGGGCACCGCACGGGGCTCAATGGGCACTCCGGCGGAGGCGTAGGCCAAGGCCAAGGCGAAGACAACAAGCACTTTCATTATGATCGGCTAACGAATAGCTTTCAACTGGTCGGTGCAGTACCTTTTATACCATTTGATTGGCCTGTTATCTATTGACACGCCTCTTGGATTTTGACCAAGTCATTCCTTGCTGTTTATTTGAAACCCACTAGGCCCAAAGTCAAATGGCTTATCAGTCAGAGATTTGGCCAGAGGATGTAGAGCTACATACGCCACAAAATAGGTATCTTTCGTTATCGCCGATTGTGGGAAATTGTTGAGATTGCGCACCGCAGGCTTTCAATTAAACTCACTTGAAAAATCAAAAGGCGGCAGACGTCTAGCACTCGAGTGGTAAGTGATAAGCATAAATTTCTTAAAGTGACGGCAGTAGTTCTGATTGTGCGAAAAGTAGGATTTTATGGACTTTCACATGGCCGAAAATACGCTTAGCTGGGAAAATCCGCTTATAGAAGTCGCCTTAATCTAATTATTTGATTTTTATAAATACTGTTGTTTTGCGGCCATTCTCAGCGCTTCAAGTGGCAGAAAGTCCCAACGATTACTTCGTGATGGACAGACCCAGATCATGTTAAGAGTTGGCAGTGGTGGGGCAAAGTTGCAAACTCATTCGCTTCGGGGGCGGGAAGGTGACAGTGTCTAGTTGAATCTGGAATCTGGGAAATTGAAATCAAATCGTCTTACGTGTTGGGAATGCAAAGAGGATCCTATTCAGGACACTGCCGGACATTAGCACATAAAAACAATTCATTGCCTTTCCTGCTGACACATGTAGTTGTTGGCTAGTAGGCAGCAACTTTTGTGGGCCACTGTGCGTGTCTGGGCCATAAATGCCGAGCCTGAAATAGATTTTGGGCTATCTCGAATCGCTTAAAGCAGAGCCAAGGCATTGGCCTGGGAAATCCTCATTTATTTAATCCTCGTATTAACTGCATTCTATTGATTTTCCCTCGCTTTTCGTTCTGTTTGCACTGCCGAGCATTTTTATGGTTGCTCCTTTCGCTGATTGCGGGAAAATTCGCTCCTTTTGTCTCTGTCTCCGGCTCCGGCTCCAGCTACGTCTCCGAGGAGGAACAAAAGAAACTAATTTTCTTGAAATATTTGCTCTCATTGTTGGTTGAGCATCAAGTTTTAAAGCGACCAAAAAAGGGTCGCCCTTTAAACTCCTGGCAGAGATGTATGAGCCGCACTTAAACTCGGATATAAGCGTACATTACGTATACGTAATGCCCTCGCCCGACACACACGCTTATTAGACGCATATCCGGCTGCGACAAAGAAAAGACACCCTGAACAGGAATGTCCAGAAGCCAGAGACTCCGAGGGGGGCTCAGTAGCAAAGGCAACCACCCGAATGTACATCAGGAGCCCACTACGCCCCTGGCTCAAGAGGACATGTAAGTAGTTTGGGGCACAAGCGGCGTCACTAATTTAGGAAAAACGCATTTCGCATAAGGCGGCACAAACCGGTTCACAAAAATATTTAATTTTGTATCTTATCAAATCAAATTCAAATACTAGATTAGATAGTTTCTTCAACTTTCATACGCACCTATGAGTTTTTACGCACTTACTTCTATTATTGCGACCACAGCTGTGTGTAATAGTGTGTGCTCGGAAAGGCATTTGAAATGTCCCCCAGCGTGCGCTCTCCTTTGACGAGAAAAAGGACGAGTCGACGACGACAAACAAGATTGCAGCAATAAAATTTCGACAAGTGAACAACAAATGATAAACGAAGCAGCAGCTTGGGATAAAAAGCAGAGCCAGAAGCCCAAGAAGCAGCAGCGAAAGGAGCAGCTCCAAGAGGTCAGTTGGGGAGCACTTGAGATGCCGGTGGCTGGCCAAGGATTCTGTCCGGCTCACTTCAACTGAGTTTGGCCCTCTCCGGGGCAACAATCTAATGTGAGCCGCATCGATTACGCTTCCCCTGCCACTCGGGCTGTGTACTTTGGCCATTCACTATTCTTAAAGGCTCTGCTGGAATCGAAATATATAATATATATTTTCTTCTAGCAGTTACTTTATCAGTTTTATTTTCTCAGTGGATGTAATGAAATACATTCCCGCTACTCAGCTTGATTTGCTTTAGTTTTTTGTGTTAAATTGTCATGAAAATGTCGCTCGGCCTGTGGTCAGCTGAAGAAATTCGTCTCCGGCTCCTTTTTGGCAAGAATTAATGACAACTGTCTGGCACAGCTGACCTCCTGGAGCAGCCCGAGCCCGGTCCTTCGGAGCCTGTCGCTGATGACTTATCACAGGGAACTATGTCTATTTCCTGCTATAATTCAAATTGCTTTCGGGGATGTCAACAGCAGCCGCCTCATTAATCATGCCTCTTGGGATGGTCTCACATTGCGTATGAGTAATGTATTTGGTAGCCCACCAAAAGGTGTTTTTTTTTTTGTGTGTCTTGGCTTGAAACTTGCCAAGAACTTATCGCCTCATTTTATATCATACCATCTTCAAGATGTTACAACGGGGCGTAAATGCATTGAGAAACTTTACTTTTTTTGAATGCAATTTGTTGGTGCACTTGGGTGGCAAGTGGAGAGGCATGACATGACTCACGTTCGAGAACCACCGCCCACAACTCCCCGACCCAAGTTAACCCGGGAGTTAGCAGGTCCTAGGACTTGGTCAAAGTTTTGTGTTGCAGTTTGTCAACTCGTTTTTAATGCGCGATGTATTGAAAAAGTTTGATTAGGCAACAGCTGGCGAAGGATGTTGAGGAACTCGTTTCCAACTCCACCTGAGTGCAATTTCGGTGCAAGAAAACTTGATAAAGAGGGAGCTTAGCAGCGAAGGAGTTGCGGAAAGTTGGGACTTAAATCGCGTATACGCCATGTTGTCGATATTGGAATGCCCAATACAATATCCTGACACAAAACTGACGCCGAGTCGACAAACACAAGTGGCCAGCATTAAATTTTATGCGCTGGGATCAAACTAAGTTATTATATATATGGGGATACATAACATAAATGTATATAAGCAGCGGGCGGGATGGATGGGCAAATATTTGCGACCATTTCTGCTTCCTCTGTGATTTTCTATCAATAAGCTGACGGCGTCCCGTTGGCTTTTGCATATGAGAAGGCTCAGCCCTCTCAGTCTTTTTCCATCTCGAAATATATAAATATAAATTCCTGCCATGCAAACAAATCCTTTTCGATAGATTGCTTTTGGCTTGCCTTTTTTCGCCATCGTCGCTTTTATTATTGTGTGCCAACGCCATGGATTTTTGTCTACTACGACAATTGGATTTTCACGGAGAAGTATCCGTAGAGCTGAGTGTGGACTGTGGAGTATGGAGTGAGGAGTGTGGGCCTTCTGAGGGACGAGACAAATACGTGTTCCCATCGGAGGAGGTGGTACTTCTGGTTGTCAGCTTATTGGCAATGGCACATCCCAAAAAATGATTCCGCTCGGGCCGTATCAATGACGCTTGAAAACTCACAGCGGATCTCTATTGTTCCCGGCATTCTTGGCACCAAATAATGCAACTTTTCCTTTGTACCAGTATTTCCACTGGCTTGTCTGGGCATATTTGAATGCACTCGCAGTCTGGTGTCCTCACCGAGGAGGAGAATAGTTAATATCACGGGCAGATTGTTCATTCAGTTGGGAATCTCTTTTGTCGGAGCTTCATTAATGCCCCGAAAAATATGCAAGGGCTCCCTTAATAAATATCTCAACGATGTTATGCCTCTAGTCGTGCCTTTTGAAAAATATATATAACTACTCATCAAATTTCAGCATGCAAATATTTACATGATGAGTCTACAGCTGGGTCTACAATGCTTTATGGCTTATAAACATTTTGTTTGGCAATATTTTTTGTGTTGCCTTGGCACAGTTGTTGCTGCTATTGTAATTCTGGTTTATTGTTTTCTATATATTTTTCTGCTTGAACGCACTAAAAGCTACTCTACTGCCAGTCAACTAGCTATCCAGGCATTCAATCCACCTTCTGGGAGGTGGAAGTGGCTTCCATATTTCCTCCTCGATGCCGGCATTTGTTTGCTTTATGTCTTTATTTTGTGCCCTGCCCGAGGAGCAGAGTATTATTATTTTTTTTGTTACCCTACTCTATCCTTTTTGCTGAGTGATGGCCCTAGGTACTACATATAATGCCAGGATACCAGGATGTCGGGATGCTGGGATGCCGGGACGATGGCAAGGGGATTTCGGTGAGTGCTCTCTGAGCGGCTTTGCATATGCGTATGGGTTTGCTTTTGGTGCTTTTTGGTAAAATTTTCGAGAGCCGAGTTGGAGACCGAGTGATGTTTCAATTATGGTTTCCGTTTGTTAGCCCAAAAGCTGACGCACTTTGCCGAGTATTTCTCAAGTTCCCTATACACATACCAAGAAGTAAGCCATTAACTTTTCCTGTCAATCAATTGTCACTCGAAAGGAAAAACAAAAGAAACAAAAGCTTTCCATCCAAAAAAATAAATGACACATGAAAACAAAAGGCACGAGTCCATGACAAGACATTTTACTTCCATGAGAAATAAATGAAATTAAGGGTTCAGTGGGTGTATTGTATTTGTTATTGTTATTGTTATTGTTATAGCAGGGGTACCCCTTAAATATTTAACAAAAATATGTAGACATCCTTATCAGAAAAAACTGTGCCACTTTAGCTGATAAATGACAACTCATTTCACATGGAATGATACCTAAAATCTTGTTACTTAAAATGGCATTAACGAACGAAAATCAAAGCTCCAACTGATAAACATTGTAGACAAAACAATTTCAACAACAAAAAGTAGTTAAAGGCATTAAAGTACACATTTAGTAATGCCCTGATATAATAAAAGCTGAAAGTAATAAAAGCTTATAAGAAACTACTTAAAAATAAAATAATGGAAATCCCCTGATATAATCATATTTATTTTAATTTAGGTAAGACTCTCTCTCTCTCTCAGATGTATAGATTATCCCTTTGGGACTCTGGGGTCCTTTTAGTTGGCCAAACGAACCCACTTTGACCAGAACAAGTATTACCACTCAATCAACAGTCGAGGCAAAAAAGGAGACACCCAAAAAGTCTTTGTCTCTGATGCCAAAAGCAAAAAAGCAGCGAACTTTGCCGTCAAGTCATTGTGTGGTGGCTGGCTGGCTGACTGACTGGGCGAACTTGTTTCAAGTGGAGCCACCAGAGCACCAGAAAAGCAGACAAGTCAGAGCCAAACGCCAACCCGAACAAACCAAGTGTTGTTTGGATTTCATTATACAATTATCTTGTTACCAGAAATAATGGTGTCGAGCCGGGCAACATGCCAAAAGCATTCAATGAGCCTGATGCGTCTCCAACCAGTTTTCTTGGTGGGTGGTGGTTGGGTGTCAGTTAGTCACTCAGTCAGTCAGTTAGTAAGCTGGTGAGTTTCGCCAACCCTCGCCTGTGAAACCAAATCCAAATACCATATCCCATATTCGCATGTGTGTGCTCTCGGGTGTGGGGTTAGCCGGATGCCGGGCGCGTTAGGAAAAGCAGGAAGTCATTAGCCGAAAAAACTCTGGTGATGGCGGTTCCAACTGGGGTAGGAAAGAGCCAGTAATGCGATAAATAAATGAAAATGTTTGAGTTAAATGAATTAAGTGTGCGATACTCTGGCAGAGTTGTGTTTTGGGGCTGGGGTGGGGGGCTTTTTTGTTAGAAACACTTTCTGTGTTGGCCTGTCAGAGCAGAAGCCAGAGCGACTGGCTTCGTCTAGGGGTTGTGTTAAGTGCCGGGGAGTAGCAATTGTTCCGAGTTTAATTAGCCGAACATCACTCAAAGTGTCACAGGCACTGAGAGCGCCAAGGGGTTAAGAAATTCGGTTAAAGTTTCCGCAAGTTCGGCTTCCAAGTTTCAAAACACTGGTCATGCCCAAAACAACACATCATCCTAAACATCATTAGGATTATAACTATCTGGGATTCCCCCGAGCTCAGCTTTCCTGCGGTTGCTGAGTTGCCTTTTTGGAGGATATTTTTTGCGCTTTGGCTGGCTGATTTCGACTCCACTTAATTAATTATGTAGCCGAATCATGGCCGCACCGAAAATCGTTAATTAAGTTGATTGCTTTGAATTGGTTGGCATTTATTAGCCAGGATTGCGTTGTTGACTCGCCGGTCGAAAAGTTCCCAGCCTCTCCCCTCAGTCCCTGCATAATTGATGAGCTGACAGTTTGTTAATTGATTTTTCTCTGTGATTAGAACTTCATGGCGGGCTCCATGAAACGATTTTATTAGGTACCACATGAGGCAGAGCTTAATATTAAATTGGTTCGTATGTCGAAGTGGGTCACAGGCATAAATAATCGAAAAACCAGTCAATGCAAATTTGGTCTGTCGATGTCCGCAGGCTGGCAAAATATTTCACAAACAGAGTCAGTCTGGCAAACCACTTGACCGACTGACTGGGTAGTTTGCAAAAACCAAAGAAATGCCCTAAATCGACGCTCTCAGTTCAACAAAGTTTGTGGCCAAAGTAAGAAACGAACTTTAGGGCGTTCAATCAGAGCAATGCAACTGGGCAATGGTAATGGCACTGGCTGTGGCAAAAGTGGATTTTAAATAAAAAACTTTTGCCATAAACACTCGTCGACCGTCGACCGTTTTCGGGGTTGACATTTTAACTAACTTTGCCATACTCACACACTAGAAAAAGCTGAATAACTTGTGTTTTTTATTCCGGGAGTTATGTATGATATTTTGTCATATCTAAACCACAGAATACGAGTGCAGGAAACTTTTTGTGCTGTCATAAATTTCCGCAATGCAAACATTTATCAGCACGGCTGGACTCCCGACTCCCGACTACCGACCCTCGACCCTCGGAAAGAGCCCGGTCTTAACCCCATCTCCGATTCACTCCCGCATCCACTTCCAAGCTCAGCTGCTGCTATTTCCCCTGACTGACTTTGTTATGTCCCTAGCTGTGGATCCGAATCAGAATCCGAATCTGGCTTTCGTTCCTATTTCAGCTACTATTTCTAATTCTATCTGTGACTCTGTGTCTGTCTCTTCTCCAGTCTCCCGCCTCCAGTCTCTAGTCTCCTATCTCCTGTCATTGTTTCTGGTTTCTGTCGTTTGGCTCGTGTTGACTAAATGCTTTTTATGCGAAACCGCAGTACCATCTGGCCATGAGTGGTATTTGGTCACCACCTGGTAGCTCTCAACATGTGAGGTCCTTCCACTGGCAAAAAAAACCAGCACTTGCCCCAGATATGGGGTTGAAAAGTTCTTGAATTATGCCTCATTTTCTGAAAATAAAAAGTGCTACAATTGAAGTAACCAACTTTTGTCGTGTATTTAAATGCCTGGCAATAATTCAAGTGTTGACATATTGTCTGCTGTTTCCTGTTCAACTTTCACTTGAATGAAACTTTTTTCTTTTGAATGGTTTTCCCTTCTAGCAACTTGGGAGTTTGAGTTTTTATTGTGCCGCCTGGCAATTTAATGAATTTTAATGAAAACTTATGTGCCGGGAGCTCTTGTAATTTTCATGTAAATTTTCAACTACATACGAGAACCAAAATATTTTAAGGAAATTTTGAGTTCAATTTTAAACCGCCCAGAAAAAGTTTAATAATATTTCTTTCGAATTTTTTTTATTTATATTTTTTGCTTATGAAGTTCGCTGAACACTCTTTAGATGCCAGTGTGGCTCTTGATCCAGTCCAAGTAGCTGGTGGTACGGGTGAAGGCAGCGGGGTAGCCCTTCTCGCAACCGGCAGCAGCTCCGAAGGAGGTAAGACCGATCTGGACATTGTTGGATTTCAGAACAAGGGGACCGCCGGAGTCACCGTTGCAGGTGGACTTGCCGTTGGTGGTGGACACACAGATGTTGGAGGAGGTCACGATGGAGGTGCCGTAGGTGGCGGCGCACACGGAGTTGGTGATGACAGTCAGATCAACGTAGTTGAGGTAGGTGGCCACAGAGTTGGAGTTATCGCTGGTGCGTCCCCATCCGGAGGCAACGGCGGTCTCACCGGCATAGGTCGAGTACGAGCTGGAGATGCTGGGCAGGGAAGCGGCCTGGATCTTGGAGGAGTAGGCCACGCTGGGGATCTTGATCAGGGAGATGTCGTTCTTCAGGGTGGAGCTGTTCCAGCCGGAGTGGATGATGATGTCGGAGCTGGGGACGGTGTGGGTGATCTCGGCAGAGGTACGCACGGTGGCGCCCAAGTAGACGGTCACGGACTGGATACCATCAGTGCAGTGAGCAGCAGTCAACACCCATTGGTTGCCGATCAGGGAACCGCCGCACCAGGCGCTGGAGTAGGCGCTCAACTTCAGGGAAAGTCCCACCTGGTAGGGGAACTGACCGGCGGAGGCGAGCTGGCCGTTGGTAATGCGACCTTCGATGCTGTCAATGACGGGCATCTCGCGGCTGCGGTGGGTCAGCTCGGCCTCGGGGAAGGCGGAGGCGGCGACGGCCAAAGCGAGGATGATCAGGAACTTCATCTTGATTGTTGCGTGTTCAGTGAAAGGAACTCAACTGGTCTTCTACGGCCTAGCGAGGGTCTTTTATACCGACACCTAGCTGGTTCTTCACCGATTAGGTTGCACTTCGAAAAATATCCCAGCCCCGATTAGATAGGCCCCAAGTAGCTCCGAACAGCGGGTACTATCACCGGAGATTTTTTGCGGTTGATATGAATGGACATACTTTAGCCAGTCGGTCGCCAAAATTACTTTCCAAGTATTGATCCCGATATGCATCTAATCTGCACAGGTGTGTTTTCAAATCTAGCAGTCTTGATATGGAAAGCCCAGAATGAGGTTGCTAATTAATTTGATTAGGTTCTCGCAAATATATCTATCATTGACAATTGGCAAGGGTTTGTATTGAATCTTCCGTGAGTGACGTGCCTTTCTAATACCTTTTGGCCCGAGTATCTCACAGCACTTCAGTACTATCTTATCATCTGTCCAAAGGGAAGCGGGAGCTTTAAGCTGGTAGTTCCGCTGAGCTGACTGGTTGGACCTTAAAGGTCATGTAGGAATTGCAGCTTTTTATTCGGAACCTCTTTGGCCCAGAAGAGTTTCACCATAAAAGCTCAATCATTCAGCTGTGAAATGTTTACGCTCTTCCATTTACGATTATAAACAAACAAAATGCTGTTCCTTATCATTTGCGAGTGCCGCGTGATTTGATGACGCGTTTGCAATTTCGTTCTGACCACAGTGCTGCGGTTAATGGCCAATTCAGTTGGCCAATTAAGGCGATTAGCCCGGCGACCAATACCAACGATCCACCAACCCGAAGACGGTTTCAAATTCAATTTCAGTGGCGAATCCATCATCAATTTTTCTCGCACAGCCCTTGGTTTTTATTGAACTCCCCAAACTGACTTGGCCATGCTGTAATGGCGAAATGTTTATTGTTATTTATCGGCAACAATTTCCATTCAAGGGTAAATAACCCCCAGTACCCCCGATCGTAAAATGGCCATTTGCACCTTGCCTCCCCTGCATTTCGGGTAGAAACTCGCCTCGACTCCTCTAGTCAAATTGGTTTTATTGTCTGGCCCGACTATATTGTTTAGCAATTAATGGGCTGCAATTAGGCGTTAATTGCATTTAGTTGGTCAGTCTGCTGTCGGATCCATGGCAAATATGCGGTTATCCTGGCGTAGACAGTGGGCGCCCCCAGTTCACATCCTCCGGCGCTCCCGAACGAGGTGACCCCAACCAGGTAGCTGGTATTTTGAAAGAGGACGACGACAGGTCCACCAGAGTCCCCGTTGCAGGCACCTCTTCCCCTGCTTCCATCGGTGCAAAGGTGACGTTTCTGGCTGACCAGTCCCGGCAGAAAGTAGCACATACACCGCTCCTGGTCTATTACCTCCACATCCAGGTAATACAGATCTCTAGTATCGTTTTTCCCTGAGTCGCCCAGACTGCCCCATCCCGAGAGGGTTACCAGTTGTCCTTCCAAGAAACTCTGATGCATAAAGTCGCCAGCCATCTCTATAGTTTTCACTCTTTCTGAAAGAGTTACCCTTCTGGGCAGTCGTATCAAGGCCAAATCATTATATCCGCCAAAACCTAAATATTCGGGATGGATTATAAAATCTCTATGCGTGACCACAAGCTCTTCAGCAGCATCTTCTGGATCAGCAAACCTAGTTGCTCCCAAATATATCTTAGCACCGATACCATCTATCAAACAGTGCGCTGCAGTCACAACGAATTGGGAAGTGATTAAGGAACCACCGCACTTTATCAGTACTCCAGCACTAAGTTGAATCACCAGGCCCACTTGATGCGGAAACATGCCACGTGCGGCCAAGTTCCCGCCAGCGATTCGAGTGGATACCAAAGTGGTCTGATTAATCTCCCCCTCGAATTTTTCGCAGCGAATACGCCACTGCTCATATCCGTTCTGCCAGCGTTTTTCCATGATGGCTTCTTCGTCGTCAATGGAATCTTCATCAGAGTGATCTTGCCATGGTGCACCTGATGCAACCAGAAGTGGAAGAAAGAGTACACATATCAAGTGGCAAGGTGTCATATTGGCTTTAAAAAACTGAAAAAATAAATAGTAATTAAGATACAAATTTGATAAAAAAATTATCTTCGTTTAGAAGCCATTTATTTATTTAATAGAAATTTTAATCACAATAGTTACGGAAATTATGGAGGCTACCAATACTAGTTCATTTCTTTAATTCTTTAAAAGATAAGATTATGTATTAATTTATCAAGTTGTATTGTTAAGGTTTCTCGTTCTGGAAAAATACATCCATCATATTAAGATTGATACCCTATCATACCCGCTAATTTATATTCTCAACACTTTGAAAGCTAACACTTAAGATTAGTAGACATACATACAAATGTATGTCTGATATGTTCCACTTATAGAAAGCTTTAAAGCAAATCTAATCTTTAAATCTGATAATAAGTGTAATCCGAGCAAGGGAAATTCTCTATATGGTAGTATGTAGATATGTCCCTAAGAATAACTTGAATATATATTCTTTTCCTATTCTAATTATTTTTAAGGTTTCCTCGAATCACCTGCAATATTTGGTGATTACCCTTTTTCTTAATATCACTTTATTTCGTGTTTACCTCTTGGTGGACTCTCTGCCTGATAGTCAGCTATTAATTGTTCTTTGTTGAGGACGAGTCTGAGTGGGTGCTTCATGTGGAGTACTGGAACTGTTGTTGTCTTAGTTGGTGTTTTTATAGCCCTAGAGTTTGTGGCATCAACACTGCGTCAGCGTCATCTTCAGCGTCAGCGTCTTTTTCTCCGGCACGTGTCCGCTCCGACTGTTAATTGAATTTGCCTCGTCCCGCCCCCTCCCCGTGCAAAATATAAGGGGCAAAGAGGAAGGGGCACGACCAGATGCTTGGCATTCAACTCCTCAAGCTCCCGTGTAATTGCCGCACGTTTCGGCGATTATGTTGCTTAGGCCTTCAGTGCAGTCGCCTTAATTGCTTTCGACCCAGTCATTCATTGAGTTGCCCGGCTTTCAATTGCATAATTTTCGCTCAGCCCCAATGCCGTCAACCATGTCTGGTTCTTACTCTTTATATTTATTGACTGGCGCTTTATCAATTCCAAGGTTTATTATTTGTTTAATTTACTGTATGCGTCTATTAAGAGTCTGGCGGGATTTTATGGAATTACCTTATGGTTCTATAAAAAGAATGTTTGTTTTGGAAATGTTCCTATATGAGTTATAAATAATTTTTTTTTATTAATTAAAAGCAATCCCCTTTTTTTTTGCTTTTGTTGTATATAGAAAATGCCAATTTTTGCGATTCAAACTTTAATATGCTTTGAAATGTTCATAGTTTTAGGAACTTAAGCAGAGACACCGGAGTTCTCCTTGATCCAGTCCAAGTAGTAGGTAACACGGGTGAAGGCAGCTGGGGCTCCAGACTCACAGCCGTCAGCGGATCCGAAGGAGGTGATGCCGATGAGAGTGCTGTCCAAGGCCAGGGGGCCGCCGGAGTCACCCTGGCAGGTGGACTGGGCATTGGGAGTGGCCACGCAGATGACACGGCTGGTAACAATCAGAGAGCCGAAGGTCTGCTGGCAGACGGTGTTGGAGATGACGGTGAGGTCAACGTACTGCAGGTTCGGGGCAACGGAAGTAGCGGAATCGGAAACCAAGCCCCATCCGGAGGCCACAGCAGTCTGGCCAACATAGGTGGAGTAGCTGCTGGCGATGGCGGGCAGGGCGATCTTGTTGACGGCGGCAGAGAAGGAGATGGTGGGGGTCTTGATCAGGGAGATGTCGTTGCGGACGGTCAGAGACAGGTAGCTCTCGTGCTGGATGAAGTCCGAGCTGGAGATGGTCTGGGTGAACTTGGGGTTGGTGCGCACGGTAGCTCCGTAGGAGGCAGTCACAGAGGTGGCACTGCAATGACGCGTTCCAATTAATCAGGATCGAGTGGGAGGCAACTATCGTTTCAACTTACCCATCGGTGCAGTGAGCAGCGGTCACCACCCAGTTGGCGGCAATAATAGAGCCACCGCACCACCAGCCGCCCTGGGAGCTGGAGAAGCTAAGTCCCACCTGGTAGGGGAACTGCTCGGCGACGGCTTCCTTTCCGTTGGTAATGCGACCCTGGATCGAGGCAGTCCTGTCACGGGGGTGGACAGGAGCCTTGGGCAGGACTCCAGCGGAGGCGGTGGCAACGGCCAGAAGCAGAACAGCGAAGACCTTCATGATGGCTTGTCGAACGGTGTATGAATTTTCCCCACTAGCCAGGCCAATTATATACCCCTTCTTATCAGATGAAAATATTGGGCAACTCATAACCATAAAAATCTGATAATATTCTTACGAAATTTTAAGTAGGCAAATCCATAATGTCCACTGTGTCTGGGGCGTCATCTTAGGCCATCTTATCGCCGAAATCTGATAGGGGTCTTAAGTGGCCTTTATAGTTGATTTCCTTATCAATAAATTGAACTTTCCTTTGTGTGTTATCTCACTAATAAATATGTTGCATCATGTTTAATTTAATTATTGGGGTAAACAGTAAACAGATGATTTAGATTTCTACTAAAAAGAAATTGTTTGAAGGCCACTCGAAGATTCTGTTAGATTGGTCCATAATTTATAACCGAATAATGGCGTGGGAATATCCCGATTTCTGATAAGCTTGATTCTGATAACCAATGATTAAATTATAATTCTTTTATTTAGCCAGACCCCTTTTTCATTGAAAAATATATTAGGATTAAGTATTAAGTTAAAATAAAAAGATGTTACAATTTTTATAATGCTCTTTATTGAAAAATATTTAGACTTAGGCTTCAACACCTGAGTTATCCTTAATCCAGTCCAAGTAGCTGGTCACACGAGTGAAGGCAGCAGGGGCTCCAACCTCGCAGCCGTCGGGGGATCCGAAAGAGGTGATGCCGATCAGAGTGCCATCAAGAGCCAGAGGACCACCAGAATCACCCTGGCAGGTGGAATGGGCATTGGGAGTGGCCACGCAGATGACACGGCTGGTAACAATCAGACTGGAGAAGGACTGTTGGCAATCGGCGTTGGAAATGACTGTCAGGTCGGTAAACTGCAGGTTCTTGGCGACGGCGGAGGCGGAATCGGAAGTCAAACCCCATCCGGAGGCCACAGCAGTCTGGCCAACATAGGTGGAGTAGCTGCTGGCGATGGCAGGCAGAGCGATCTTGTTAACGGCAGCCGAGAAGGTGATAGCAGGAGTCTTGATCAGGGAGATGTCATTGCGGACAGTCAGCGAGATGTAGTTGGCGTGCTGGATGAAGTCCGAGCTGGAGACGGTTTGGGTGAACTTCGGGCTGGTGCGAACGGTGGCTCCATAGTAGATGACGGCGGAAGAGGCTCTACATAAAAGGAAATAAAGAAAACTGCGATCTTAAGAATTCTTAGCGTTCTTACCCGCTGGTGCAGTGGGCAGCTGTCAGCACAAAGTTGTTGGCAATAATCGAGCCACCGCACCACCAACTGCCTTTGGAGCTGGAAAAGCTAAGTCCCACCTGGTAGGGGAACTGATCCGCCACTGCGTTCTCTCCGTTGGTAATGCGTCCACCAATGGTCGGAGTGATGGTCCTGTCACGAGGATGCACGAAGTTGGTTTGAGGCAGAAAGCCTGCGGAAGCAGAGGCGATAGCCAGAGCCAGGATCAGGAATACCTTCATGTTGATGGTTTATCGAACAGTGAATGATGGTTACTCAGTTTGTTCACCCTTTTTATACCAACCAAAGTGACTGTAGTATCTTTTTGGGAAAAGCCCTCCTTTCCCACCTTTAAAGATTATAAATCTTGCTTCAATTCTGGGGATAAACCCCAGCACTTTTTTCGATGTCTTAGTAGTTCCCTTATGGAAATGGCACGGTAATATCAACGAGATAAGCCTTTTCTTAGTTAAAACATGTATCAGCTAACTCTAATCTATATTACCACTTTAAAATACCAATAAATAATATTTTACATCACTTCCAAGTGATGATGACAGATAATCGGGGTGTTTCCCCTAAAAGGAATACCACTCCAAGTCTTTGTCAGATTGATCCACAATTTACTGCCGAATAATATAATGGGAATCGCCCGATTTTTGATAAGCCTAGGTGGGAGGGTACATAATCTAAGGTAGTCAGTTGGCGCTAGTTAATCATTAAACACCAATCCATCAGAATGAACATCTTCATTGTTCTGGCTTTGGCTGTGGCCACCGTATCCGCTGGAGTCGTGCCTCAGGACATTCCCGTACATCCTCGTGATAGGACCTTTGCTCCTTCTATTAGTGGGCGCATTACCAACGGTAAGAATGCTGCCGAGAACCAGTTTCCCTATCAAGTGGGACTAAGTTTCAGTGGCTCCGGAAGTTGGTGGTGCGGTGGCTCCATCATCGCCAACAACTATGTTCTGACCGCCGCCCACTGCACAGACGGGTAAGTGTTTTTAGTAATGTAGTTGTGATCTTGGCTAACTTCCTTCCTCTTAAAGAGCCTCTTCTGTGACCATCTACTATGGATCTACCGTGCGCACCAGTCCCAAGCTAACCCACTCCGTGTCCAGTTCCAACTTTGTCCAGCACGCCAACTATGACGACGAAACCCTGAACAACGACATATCTCTGATCAAGACTCCTACTGTGACTTTCTCGGCTTCCATCAACAAGATCACCATGCCTGCCATCGCCAGCAGCTACTCCACCTATGTTGGCCAGACTGCTATCGCCTCCGGATGGGGTAGGACCTCCGACTCCGCCACAGCCGTAGCTAAGAATCTGCAGTACGCTAACCTGCAGGTCATTGCTAACTCCGTTTGCCAAACATCTTATGGAAGCAAGGTGGTAACCAACGGGGTCATCTGTGTGGCTTCAGTCAACGAGGTGTCCACCTGCCAGGGCGATTCCGGAGGCCCATTGGCATTGAACAGCAGACTCATCGGAGTGACTTCTTTTGTTTCCTCCAAGGGATGCGAAAAGAACGCCCCGGCAGGATTCACCAGGGTCACCAGCTACTTGGACTGGATTAAGTCAAAGTCTGGCATTTCTGCCTAAACAAAAAAAGGTGTATAAAAACTATACTATAAATATTTATAGTTCAATGTACACTTTCTAATAAACGATTATTGAAAAATTCATTCTGTATACTTTAATTTTATTTAAACGAATGTTGTAAAGAAAATTAAAACTTTTTAAAGTTTAGAGTGTTGATTTTGCGCAACTTACCGGCAAGAGGGTCTTATTAAAATCTTTGTTATAAAACAACTTACAGAATGAAACTTTTAAAATAAAGATTTATTTGTTGTATTTAAGGGGCTCACTCAATTGAAGTGCCTAAATGTGTCGTATAGGTAACTTAAAATATAATATAATGATGTGAATACAAAGAGTTATTCATTACATATTATAGAAACTAAATCGAAGCTAGTCTAAGAAAAACTACCCATAGTCTGTACCCAAGCTATTATTGAATTTATAATTAAATCTTAAACTATGGTATATTCTTATCAAAGACTTGAATTTTAATTTTATATGATCAAATTCATTCTTCTTTGGAAAATCTTAAATAAATGTGATCACCATTAAATTCATCATTGAATAAAAAGTTTAGCTGTTAAAAAACATTAAATAACTTTACAAGCTTTTTGTATTACCAATTATTTCAACAAGTGTTTAAATTTTTATAATGCTCTTTATTGAAAAATATTTAGAATGTTTTAGGTTTAAACCCCGGAGTTCTCCTTGATCCAGTCTAAGTAGCTGGTCACACGGGTGAAGCCAGCAGGAGAACCAACCTCACAGCCGTCGGGAGATCCGAAGGAGGTGATGCCGATCAGAGTGCCATCAAGAGCCAGAGGACCACCAGAATCACCCTGGCAGGTGGAATGGGCATTGGGAGTGGCCACGCAGATGACACGGCTGGTAACAATCAGACTGGAGAAGGACTTTACGCAATCAGCGTTGGAGATGACGGTGAGGTCGACAAACTGCAGGTTCTTGGCGACGGCAGAGGCGGTATCGGAAGTCAGGCCCCATCCGGAGGCCACAGCGGTCTGGCCAACATAGGTGGAGTAGCTGCTGGCGATGGCGGGCAGGGAGATCTTGTTCACTGAAGACGAAAAGGTGACGGCGGGTGTCTTGATCAAAGAGATGTCGTTACGCAGGACCACGGAGTTGTAGCTGGCGTGCTGGATAAAGTCCGAGCTGGAGACGGTTTGGGTAAACTTGGGGCTGGTGCGAACGGTGGCTCCATAGTAGATAACCACAGATGAAGCGCTACATCGAAAATATTTATGAAAATGATCTTAGTGTACTGAAGTATGTAGTATCCTTACCCGCTGGTGCAGTGGGCAGCTGTCAATACAAAGTTGTTGGCAATAATCGAGCCACCGCACCACCAACTGCCTTTGGAAGCGGAGAAGCTAAGTCCCACCTGGTAGGGGAACTGATCCGCCACTGCGTTCTCTCCGTTGGTAATGCGTCCACCAATGCTCGGAGTAAAGGTCCTTTCACGGGGATGCACAAAGTTGGTTTGGGGCAGGAAGCCTGCGGAAGCGGAGGCGATAGCCAGAGCCAGGACCAAGAATACCTTCATGTTGATGGTTTATCGAAAAGTGAATGATGGTTACTCAGTTTATTCACCCTTTATATACCAACCGCTGTGGCTGTAGTATCTATTTGGGGAAAGCCGTCCTTTCCCATTTTTAAAGATTATAAATCTTGGTTAAATTCTGGGGAGAAACCCCAACCATTTAGAAATGCTTCCGATGTCTGACAGCGCCTCATGAAAATGGCCAGAAATATCAACTAGATAAGCTCATTCCTAGTATAATAGAATCAACTAATCTATATTACCAGTTTATAGCAGCAATATATAATATTTTACATCATATAGATTAAGGGAACTCCAGTTAATCTGGTTAAGTAGGTTTAATCAAACCTTTGATTTTCGATTTATCAATTTTTGAAATTGGGAAATTTTGGTTTAAGAAGGTAAGTGGGCAATACCCACTTTTCTATCGTAAAGGAATCCCCTTTCGGACTAAGATTATAAACTTGATTGAATTCTGATTTTGATTATGAATCTTGTATTTAAAAATTTTTGCAGTTCTGTTTGGTACCTTGGTTCAGTTGAATGTTGCTTTTCTAACTTTTAGTCAGTGACTGTGTACCTGATATAAATCTGATATTTTGTTTGCCTTTGATGGATTCGCTATATCTTACTCAATCCTGATCCGATTCTCATGCGGAGTACCTTAAACGATTTCTAGATTTTTTCGCCATCATTCTGCATTAAAATTCTGAGACAAAATATTTTTTAGATTTTTTTCCCATTTTTCGTGATGGGACCCTTGAAAATGGGGTTTTGCCCTATAGGGTCCACGGTGATGGCTATATCTTCCCCAATCCTGATCCGATTCTCATGCGGAGTACCTTAAACGATTTCTGGATCGATTCTCCACCATTCTGCATTAAAATCCTGAGACAAAATATTTTTTCAATTTTTTGTCCATTTTTCGTGATGGGACCCTTGAAAATGAAGTTTTGCCCTATAGGGTTCACGGTGATGGCTATATCTTCCCCAATCCTGATTCGATTCTCATGCGGAGTACCTTAATCGATTTCTGAATCGATTCTCCACCATTCTGCATCAAAATCCTGAGACAAAATATTTTTTAGATTTTTTGTCCATTTTTCGTGATGGGACCCTTGAAAATGGGGTTTTGCCCTATAGGGTCCACGGTGATGGCTATATCTTCCCCAATCCTGATCCGATTCTCATGCGGAGTACCTTAAACGATTTCTGGATCGATTCTCCACCATTCTGCATTAAAATCCTAAGACAAAATATTTTTTCGATTTTTTGTCCATTTTTTGTGATGGGCCATTTAAAGGGCCCACAGCGATCGCTCCATCTTCTTCAATTCTTAAGCTCAATTCATCATTGAATAAAAAGTTTAGTTTATTATAAACCTTTAAATAATTTTATAAACTTTTTGTGTTACCCATTATATCAACAAGTGTTTTAATTTTTATAATGCTCTTTATTGAAAAATATTTAGGATGTGTTAGGCTTAAACCCCGGAGTTCTCCTTGATCCAGTCCAAGTAGCTGGTCACACGGGTGAAGCCAGCAGGAGAACCAACCTCACAGCCGTCGGGAGATCCGAAGGAGGTGATGCCGATCAGAGTGCCATCAAGAGCCAGAGGACCACCAGAATCACCCTGGCAGGTGGAATGGGCATTGGGAGTGGCCACGCAGATGACACGGCTGGTAACAATCAGACTGGAGAAGGACTTTACGCAATCAGCGTTGGAGATGACGGTGAGGTCGACAAACTGCAGGTTCTTGGCGACAGCGGAGGCGGTATCGGAGGTCAGGCCCCATCCGGAGGCCACAGCCGTCTGGCCAACATAGGTGGAGTAGCTGCTGGCGATGGCGGGCAGGGCAATCTTGTTCACTGAAGACGAAAAGGTGACGGAGGGTGTCTTGATCAAAGAGATGTCGTTACGCAGGACCACGGAGTTGTAACTGGCGTGCTGGATGAAGTCCGAGCTGGAGACGGTTTGGGTAAACTTTGGGCTGGTGCGAACGGTGGCTCCATAGTAGATAACCACAGATGAAGCGCTACATCGAAAATATTTATGAAAATGATCTTAGTGTACTGAAGTATGTAGTATCCTCACCCGCTGGTGCAGTGGGCAGCTGTCAATACAAAGTTGTTGGAAATAATCGAGCCACCGCACCACCAACCGCGGAGTATGGAAGCGGAGAAGCTAAGTCCCACCTGGTAGGGGAACTGATCCGCCACTGCGTTCTCTCCGTTGGTAATGCGTCCACCAATGCTCGGAGTAAAGGTCCTTTTACGGGGATGCACAAAGTTGGTTTGGGGCAGGAAGCCTGCGGAAGCGGAGGCGATAGCCAGAGCCAGGACCAGGAATACCTTCATGTTGATGGTTTATCGAACAGTGAATGCTGGTTACTCAGTTTATTCACCCTTTATATACCAACCGCTGTGGCTGTAGTATCTATTTGGGGAAAGCCGTCCTTTCCCATTTTTAAAGATTATAAATCTTGGTTAAATTCTGGGGAGAAACCCCAACCATTTAGAAATGCTTCCGATGTCTGACAGCGCCTCATGAAAATGGCCAGAAATATCAACGAGATAAGCTCATTCCTAGTATAATAGAATCAACTAATCTATATTATCAGTTTATAGCAGCAATATATAATATTTTACATCATATAGATTAAGGGAACTCCAGTTAATCGGGTTAAGTAGGTTTAATCAAACCTTTGATTTTCGATTTATCAATTTTTGAAATTGGGAAATTTTGGTTTAAGAAGGTAAGTGGGCAATACCCACTTTTCTATCGTAAAGGAATTCCCTTTCGGACTAAGATTATAAACTTGATTTGAAAATTTTTGCAGTCCTGTTTGGTACCTTGGTTCAGTTGTATATTGCTTTTCTAACCTTTAGACCGAAACACTGTCTACCGCCTAATGTCTGATATTTTGTTTGCATTCGATGGATTCTCGATGGCCGCAGGAAGTGCCGAGAACTCGAGCTTTGTTTGACTTCCATCGAATGGTGGTCGCATCATAGGAGTTTGTTTGCTTTTTGTTCAATTTTTATTATATACCATTTGTTTGCGGGCCATGACTGGCTCAACTTGCCATTGCCGTTGTTTTCCTTTTTTTCTGGGTGCTACTTGAGCCGAACCTTCCATATTCGAGCTGTGTTTTTATGTTTATGCGGAAATCTGCAGAAATTGTGTCAATATCAATAAAATTAGATTAGTATCGACGACGAGGACGATGACGATGAGGATGACTATGGCGGCGGCGGCGGCGGCAACAACAAACAAGCAACCAAAGTGTGGCAGGCAACAAATAAAGTCCCTTCCTCGTTTTTCCGCTTCCTTCCCTTAACCAATTTCATGTGTTGTGGGCTGCTTCCGTTTTCGGGCTCACTTCCGGTCCTACTTGGGCTTCCATGTGTATGTGTTTGTGTGTGTTTATGTGACAAATACTTAAATGCCTTGAAATTGCTGCAATTTTGATTCATCCCGAATTCGGGAAAAGTTTTCGCAGTCGAGCCAAAAGCATAAGGCCCCCACTTAATCTCAGTTAATTTTCTTAATGGAAAAGTTTTCCCAATTCTTTTCATTCATTCTTCCGCCTTTGACTAGGCTTAAAAATTGCTTTTCACTTAATTCTTGGCAAAGGGAGACCTTACTGGTACATTTTTATGTTGCGACCCAATTTTCATAATGCGAAAATTAGAAAAGTTTCTCGCTCTTTGGCTCTGGGGCCGAAAAGTTTCCTCTTGAAGCAGAATTGAAATTCCATTCGGTTTAAAGCTGTTAGTCTTGGCCCTATTGATTTCCCATTCACAACATTTACGTGGCATTATCGCAGGGCTTTTCGCTCCCCGGCAAACAATAACAACATGAACAATTGTGTCTCCATTTCTCATCTGGTGGCGTAATCTTTTATATAAACACAGCCGCGCTCCAAACACTCTGCCACAGTGGTTCGCTGTCCAACTAGGAAAAACATTTGCACAAGGAGCCAAAGGAAAAGCCGGAAAAACCCAGCAAAGGAAAACCTGAAGCCCATGGACTGGGGGACTGAATCACGTGACGAATGATTGAGTGCACTTCTGTGTGCGCTTTTTCACTTAAAATGTGCGATTTCAATCACTAAAAGCAAAGGTACACATCGGAAAATCGAATCAGCCATGGCTCACCGACTGATGGAGTTCCTGGAGTGGTTACTCCGCGCTTCTAGTTTTTGTTCTTCTGCCTTCCACTGGGAAAGGACCATTAACCGCAAGGTGGGCCAAAAACAAAAGACACTCGCACGGCGCATTCGAAAGCGGAAGTTGGCAATAAAAACGTTGGAACAAGTTATGTGCAAAATGTCCGGGACACGTGATGGACTTTGCTGAAAAACCAAACCAAAAAAAGTAGAAAATATGTAAAGGAAAATTGTTCAAAACAAAAAAACAAAAAGAGAAAACCGAGGGTGTTGGGACCTGGGCTAAACATTCCGCACATCAAAAACGACGCGCCACTTAACAAATCCCAAGTTGTCGTTGCGTGCCACGTGACTGGCATACAAAACGGTGGAAAGGACTCGGGCAGGAGTCCAGCAGGACCCGAAAACAATAGCTCTGCTTTGGCCTGCCGGAATGTATGGCTCGCTCGTTACTTTATGGCCAGCCGGCAAAACGCTTTCACGCACGCCCGCCTGCCACAGCTTTCTGCTTCCTCCCCTTCTGCAGCTTTCTCTTCTCTTTCTCCCAACTGGCGACCTGCCGCGCTTAATTTCCGCTTGTAATGGACGCACGATAAATCCTGGCAAACGTTTCCGAATCTTCAGGACTTTCCTCAAGCGGCACGCAACCAAAATATATATTTCCTTGGATTTTCTATTACTTTTGTGGGCTGGCCAGCTTGTTGCATTTTTGCTCTGAGGAATTTTATTAATTTTCACTTAAAGTTGTCTTTGATGCAAAGGTAATAGTTTCCAATAAAATTCAAAGTATTTATATACTATATCTTTTTGATAAAATATTTTAGACAACATAAAATTTAATTTAATTTCAGTTTAGTTAAAGCTAGGCAAAAATTTGCTTTGAACTTCTGATTCCCCTTTCCTTTCTTCCCGGCCTTCTGGTTTAAAAAAAAGAAAATTTTCAATAGAAAATATAGATTTTTATGGTTATTTTTATTTAGAAATCAACATCAAGTTTCGTTTTAAGCTTCAACACCGGAATTCTCCTTGATCCAGTCCAAGTAGCTGGTCACACGGGTGAAGGCAGCCGGGGAGCCAACCTCGCAACCGTCGGGGGATCCGAAAGAGGTGATGCCGATCAGAGTGCCATCGAGAGCCAGAGGACCACCAGAATCACCCTGGCAGGTGGAGATGGCGTTGGAGGAAGCCACGCAAATAACACGGCTGGTGACAATCAGACTGGAGAAAGACTTTTTGCATTCGGCGTTGGAAATGACAGTCAGGTCGGCGAACTGCAAGTTCTTGGCCACTGCGGTGGCGGAATCGGAAGTCAGGCCCCATCCGGAGGCTATGGCAGTCTGGCCAACATAGGTGGAGTAGCTGCTAGAGATGGCGGGCAGGGCGATCTTGTTGACGGCGGCAGAGAAGGAAATGCTGGGAGTCTTGATCAGGGAGATGTCGTTGCGGACGGTCAGAGACAGGTAGTTCTTGTGCTGGATGAAGTCCGAGCTGGAGATGGTGTAGGAGAACTTGGGGCTGGTGCGCACAGTAGCTCCGAACGAGGCAGTCACGGAAGATGCACTGCAAAAAATTGCTTCCAGTTAGCAAGGATCAAGCGGGAGCAGAGTTTCATTTCAACTTACCCATCAGTGCAGTGGGCAGCAGTCACCACCCAGTTGGCGGCAATAATCGAGCCGCCGCACCACCAACCGCCTTCGGAGCTGGAGAAGCTAAGTCCCACCTGGTAGGGGAACTGATCGGCCACAGCGTTCTTTCCATTGGTGATGCGTCCACTGATAGAAGGAGCAGCGACCCTATCACGAGGATGCACAGGCAGGATGCCTGCAGAAGCGGAAGCGATGGCCAGAGCAAGGATCAGGAATACCTTCATGTTGATGGTTTATCAAGCAGTGAATGATGGTTACTCAGTTATTTCACCCTTTATATACTTGCCCTGAGTGGCTGTAATCTTTCTGGGAAAAACTTGCCACCTTTCAAGACTATAAATCTTGAAGAGTGTCTGCGAAGAAAACACTCGAGTATTGGTTCTGGTAGTAGATTGATTGTAACAATTGCGTTAGCTATAATCTAAAAATATTTTAATCATCATTACAATTGATAAGAGTGTTTTTAGTTGATTAACAAGTATAATACGACACGCAACTATATTATTATATCACGCCAATCATTGAAACTTTATCAGCCAATCAGTCCAAGTAGTTTTAATACAAACTAAGATTTTTATCAAGAATTTTAGTGGGAAAACCACCACCTTTTCATTCTTAAAAAGAACCACCTATTGGAGTAAGATTGTAGACTAGACTCTCTTACTTTATTTTGATTTTATTTTCTTTTCAGTATTTCTAACTTGGCTAGAACTTAGTCTGAACTTCTGATTCCCTTTTTCGCCTATTCATCCTTGTTTCATTCCTAACTCTCCACTGGCTCCTTGCTGAGGCCATCATTTAAATGGAAAATCCTTTTAACTTGCCACCGCAATGTGCCAATTGCCAGGCCATTTTTATTGTCGCCCATCGTTAGTCAAAGGCTAAAGTCGGTAACAACTATTGCCATTGCCACATGCCTGTCTCAATGGCTTCGGAAAAAAAACCCCACGACCTTTCCCCCAGCGCCATTTTCACCTGGACCAGCCCCAGCCCACCTGTGCGTGTCGCTTAAGCCGGCGATAAGGTGAGCACATTTGGTGGCACGAAACCCCTTCGGATCCACATCCAAAAAACCGAAACCGAAACTGAAACTGAAACAGAAACTGAATCCGATCGGATCCGGGAGAATACGTGCCTTTCTTTGCGGCTACGATAAATTGCTATTGGCTTGCAGTCGGGGCCAAAAGGTAAAGCTGCTAATTTATTAGCCAAAGCGACAAACAAAGCATAAATAAGCAAGCCATGGGCTGAGTGGGAGGGGGACAGGGTGTATCTCTATCTGTAGTGGCAACCATCCTTCGGGCCTTAAACATCCGATACGATTCGCTTTTGGCCATTTCGGCTTTAATGTGTGCGAAAGTGGCATATAAATTTCAATGGGCCCAAGAATCCGCTAAGCTTTTGGCTTTGCAGTCATGTGCCACGCCCAGCACACCCACAGCCGGTTGGATTTTCCAAACAATAGGACAATGACAATGACAACGCATATTCAATAATGTCGCTTTCTACTTTTATGTTCGCAAAATGCAAAATCTGCAGCTCCCCGCTTGGCTCAAACCGTGAAAGGAGTGCAGATACTAGCTCCACGAGTTGGCTAAACACATTCATGCATTTTACAATGTTGCCAAAGCCCGTTGGCCTGAAGTTCTTGGCTGTGAACAATAGAAAAACGAATTAAACAAAAAGCCAGGCCAGCGGCAGGATTCGCCCAAGTATGTGTTTTTATAAGCACTGAGAAAAATACCTAAAATTTTACAGTTTGCAGTATTATTTTCAAAAGGACACAGCTTTCAAAATAAAAGGCTTTTAAAGATAATTTTAGTTTTTAAAATTTGTACAATAAACTTTATTTTTCTAAGTGCAATAATACATGTGTATGTGTATATATGTGCAACAACAATAAGCAGAAAGGCAGCAGCTGCAACAATGGAAAACAGCAAAAATGAATGCGAGTGCGAATCCAAGTGAAAGCCGAGCAGGGACTACTGAAATGCTCTACTGTTGCTTTTACTGGCTTTTGTTTGCCCCACCACCTCCGACCTGCCACACCCTAGTCTTACCACTCCCCTCCTGCACCATACACCCCCCTTGACTTTGTTGTTGCTGTTGCATAAGCAGCCATAGTGCATTAATGTTTCACGTTGAGCATGTGAGTATGACTCCAGATGGGTCGGCTCCACTTCAATTGGCAAGCAAAAATGTTGGGCATTCCGGACGGGATTCGATCAGACTTGGATATCTGGTGTGCATAGAACTCCCATAAATGAGCTATTGATAGCCATCTCTTGGATTTAGCTTAGTGAAAGAAAAGGATTTTCAGAGAATATATAATGAAATACCGATTTAATAATTCGTTAAGGGTTTTTTGGCTTACAGTTTAAGGATAAACATTACATCACTGAATTCCCTATAGAAGATCTCATAGTACCTCTTAATAGGGTACATCTCCGTCCATACAACTTTGCTTACTCCTTCGCTTTTATGTCCTTTGTTTTATTTTGTACTATTTGGTGCCTTTTTCTTCAGCAGCACTTATAGTTGATCGAACTGTGCCGGCAAAGTGTGTGATTTGGAAAAGTTTCAAGTGCCATGGCAGCCGTCACATCTCGAACAACTGCAGATCCCAATACCCTGCTCCTCGTCGGGCGCTCCACTTGAAATATGTTGAATCCTGGTCAATAGCATGCAATTTGGGTTAGGCAAACAAGTAAACAGGGACAAGGAGGCTGGGTGGTTGGGTGGCCAAACATTATGGCATAATCAGCACCAGGCCACCGCTACGTGGAGCACCACGTTCGAGTCTGGTGCATTCAATTGGCCAACGGGCATTGGACGAACCATATCTGCCAATTGGCCAAAAATGCCACAAAAACATATTTGGCAACGCAGTAACGTCAGTTGCAGGATCAACTGAAGAGGAGAGCCAGGAGCCAGCATTCAGCAGCAGGACAAACGGCTGCTGGGTCAATGTGGATGTTGATTTTGGACATGAGCTGCAGCCCCAACACGAGCTGGGCCATAAAATCAGGCAGTCAATGAGCCAAATAGCCGAAATAGCTGTTATTGTTATTGCCGCAGCCCGGCAAATTAATGAGGTGTCCTGTTCGGCCATCAACTCCATGCATAATCGAACCAGTCCCGTAGGCTCTGCTGCAGCTTTGTAATTGACCATGTCAATTGTGGGATGAGGCAAGGCTACTCCCCAAGAGCAATATAATCAGATTTCCAGTTGTTAGCAGGCAACAAATTCGAGAGGATTGCAACCGAATAGAAAACCATACATCCTATTTTAATTTGTATGGCTTACAGCTTCCAGTAAGCTCTTAAATTTCAACCTTCGACTGGCCAAAGTTCAGAATCTTTTCTTGTAAAAATGTCACTTTATTTTTCTTATGTCTTCTGTCTAAGAATACCACCTCAAAGCAGTAGACTTTAATCCCTTGTATCACATTATAGCAGTTTTTTTGTAGTCTCATTTCATTCCTGACAGTCCCTCGACAATATTTGCATGAAAACTGTTACTGACACTTAAGCATATTCTTGCTCCTGCCAAAAAAAAAAAAAAAAATCCTAGAGGAGAGGAAAACTTTTGTGTCGCTGCTTCTTTTTTATTGTTTTCTGTAATTTTTCGTTGGCTGGCATTGTTGGAGTTTTAATGACGAACAGGACTCGCAATTGTCGCCTTAATGTCGGCAAAGGCGACAACGTTGACAAAAAAGTGTACAAAACTCCATGCCTTTTTTTTTCCTCCGATTGTATTTTTAAGTTTACATTTTAATGCGAGGCTCTGGGTCCGAGTGCCAAAGTTGCTTAAGATGCAAGCCCTGCAAGTTTTAGACAAGATTTTAAGTAGCCCGGAAAAGGGAGACAGTTGGCGCTGCAGGCAGTTGGATCCATTCGGTCTCCGGAATCCTATCCGGTCCAAAAAGTTCGTTTACCTCGCAGTCATAAAGCACTTATTACCCATACGCCATGTGTTACACTTTCCAGGAGCCGAAACTTTCAAGACATTGACAAACACTCTTACTCTCGCCCCCAAACATTTTTAATTAGCCTAATGAAAAAGTTCAAATATAAAACGAAGGCAGACGTAAAGAAAATCCCCTTTTATAAATTTTTATATTTTTCTGTGGGTTTGGTGGGGATTTCACCACAAAGGAACCTCTCCTGCCACTGCTGCTCCTGACAAATGAAGAAGACGCTGCGCAAATAAGCAAAGCAATAATTTTTGCCATTGTGCCACTGAAACAGGACTCTGAGCTTTGGGTTTGGGGGAGAGTAATGGGGAGCCCCACAATCTGTAGAACAAAGAAATGCGACTAATGAAAAGCGTTGGAAAAGAGAGCAAAATTCCAGGGTAAATATAACGACGTCGCCACACTGCAATTGGCTCAAGGACCCAATCTGAATGGGGATTTGTTTGCCGGCAGTCCTACCTATTTGCCTTTGTCATTGGAGCGATTGAGAATGTTCAATTAAAAAACTTTTCCCGTGGCTGCCAGACGGCAGAAATCAGACAACAGGCGAGAGACCAGAGACGAATGTTTAAGCCACTTAAGAATGATAAGGTCCGTGCCCTCGTCCTTCAAAAAAACATGCAATATATAATTGATTTTCGACGTCTTCTGTTTGTTGTTCCGCTCGGCCACTTTGGCTTATTAAATATTTAAGTGGCAAATTGTCAAAAACATCCAACTGAATGACAGGCCGAGCCCCCACACTTCCTGTGCGCTTGTTTGTGTCGCAATAATTGACAAATAAAGTGAAAAAGCAATGGAAAGTTTTCCCAAGTCTTTTCCTCATGAATACTTTAGGCTGTCTGTGGTGGGAGAATGTGAAGGGGCGGAGGCTGACGAAGGCAGGGTGGAGTGGCGACTTGCCAACTTCTTTGGCAATTTTCGAATTATTTAAATGGCAGCCAGTTCTTTTTTATTTTCTCTCTACTTTTATTTTTCATTTACGCACGCCTTCGTGTGTAGCGATGCCGATAATTGCAACAAAGCAAAAGTTTCCAACGTTCAAGAGCCACCAGAAAAGTAGGCAACACTTTGACAACGAACACGAAGGATATAAAGGATATAAAGCAAAAAAAATAGGAGAAAAATTGCCGCTGGTCAGAAAGTTTTCCACTGAAAAGATTTGCCACAGCTGAAGCACAAAAATGTGTTTGGGATAGCTGCAATTAAAAAAGGGATTACGATCCTAGCCAGACTTTCGATTTGCTCCTTGTTCACTTTTCATCCTTCTCCGAGCTCCCAGCCACCCCAACTTCCTTCCTTCCGGTCCTGATTTTCTTTTCGCTTTTCGATTAAAAGTTTAGCAAATTAAAATCGTATAATGACGGTGATTAGGCCAACAAGTGCTGCAGGACATTGTTGCGGCCCAACAGTGCTGAAAGCGGCTTTAAAGAGCTGCTGAGAACATTTCGGCCATAAATATGAAATTGTGCCACCAACACATATAATTAACGTGTGAAATTTATTTCGGTTCGCAGCTGGCAGCTTGCAGAAATTTGCATAATGAGCAAGAGAAGAGAAATTGATTGTTATTACTCGTGTTCTGTGTTTTCTTTTTATTGTAGCGTACTGGCTTTTCCATTTTTTGTTCTTTATTATAAATTAAACAACTTTATTTACTCAATTATGTTACGGTTGTGAGCTATTTACATTTTTGGGTCGATTCTTGTTTTGGGTCTGTTTTGCTTAAATTTAAAATATGCATTTCAATTAGGTATATATTTATTTATGCTTAACAGTGGAAAGCAGCAACAACATTTAACATAGATTTTTTCCATATTTATTATACTTACATATTAATTTATTAAATATTTTTTTTTAATAGGCTTGCAGTTGAAAATGTTCAAGAGGTGTCGAGAAATAAACATTCCAGGCTAACCAATTTCAGAATTAACATATTTCCATAATTATTGCAACATATTTGAAGATGAGAATGTTTACAGAAATTTAAGAATTCTTGCCCCCTACACTTATTTTCCGCACTGTTCACCCTTTTAATGGTTAACTTGATAAATACCACACCACAAAAAACAACTTAACCGAAAAGTAACTAAAACTAAACTATAGATAATTTCACCGTTTATCAGCTAGGCGTTTCATTTGCAGTGTCTGTGTTTTTCTTTTTCATAGAGTATCACATTTGTTGGTATATCGGTTCGAATCCAGCAAAATAGTTTTGCCATTCCAGAACTTAAATGTAATTTTGCGCCACCAGTTGATCGATTTCCTCCATTAGCTACTGGTGCTGTTCCGTCTCCATGTTCTTGGCACGCAGATACTTCAGCAGCATCTGGAGCGAGTCATAGGTATCAAAGTCGTCGAGGTTGCGCCTTGAGGAGGACATGTTTGTGGGACGGGGCATAGCCAGGGGGACGGGCAGCAGTTCGGGCATCACCGAGTGGTGGGTGATCAGGGCCTTCAGACTGGAGAACTCCTTGCGAAAGCCCTGAAGTGAAAATAATAATATGATTTTGGTTAGGAACCTATTGCTATTTAACTTAAAGTCGCCCAATCCTTACCTTAATTTTGAATCCTCTGGCAGATCGTAGTATAATATAGTTAGCTATTTTTGGCCCAGGTGGCGATGGAACTCTCAATGTCAGGGCGTAGCACCCTGGCTTGGAGCTGCTCTTGCGCACCAGAAACGCCCCTGGGCTCTTGTTTTGCAGGACCTCGACGGCAATATCCCTGGAGATTCCCGCCTGATACCAACAGGCATCCTTCAGGTCGCCCTCCTCCTCCTCGTTGCCAAAAGTGTTGGCCAGGCTACTGCTGCGCTGCCCGCTGGCTCCCTGATTCATCCGCAGGCGATTGGCGAAAATCTTGGGACTGGAGTTGGCTGCGAATAAAGGAGTTATACAAGTTTTCAGAATATAAAATTTATTATAATTAAATCATAGATAAATTAAAAAAGAAATCTGTTAAAGTTTAAAGTTAAATTCTTACCGCTACTGGTCTCTCTTAAATATCTTTTCTTCATGTTGAAAATTTTTATATTTTTCTGTGGGTTTGGTGGGGATTTCACCACAAAGGAACCTCTCCTGCCACTGCTGCTCCTGACAAATGAAGAAGACGCTGCGCAAATAAGCAAAGCAATAATTTTTGCCATTGTGCCACTGAAACAGGACTCTGAGCTTTGGGTTTGGGGGAGAGTAATGGGGAGCCCCACAATCTGTAGAACAAAGAAATGCGACTAATGAAAAGCGTTGGAAAAGAGAGCAAAATTCCAGGGTAAATATAACGACGTCGCCACACTGCAATTGGCTCAAGGACCCAATCTGAATGGGGATTTGTTTGCCGGCAGTCCTACCTATTTGCCTTTGTCATTGGAGCGATTGAGAATGTTCAATTAAAAAACTTTTCCCGTGGCTGCCAGACGGCAGAAATCAGACAACAGGCGAGAGACCAGAGACGAATGTTTAAGCCACTTAAGAATGATAAGGTCCGTGCCCTCGTCCTTCAAAAAAAACATGCAATATATAATTGATTTTCGACGTCTTCTGTTTGTTGTTCCGCTCGGCCACTTTGGCTTATTAAATATTTAAGTGGCAAATTGTCAAAAACATCCAACTGAATGACAGGCCGAGCCCCCACACTTCCTGTGCGCTTGTTTGTGTCGCAATAATTGACAAATAAAGTGAAAAAGCAATGGAAAGTTTTCCCAAGTCTTTTCCTCATGAATACTTTAGGCTGTCTGTGGTGGGAGAATGTGAAGGGGCGGAGGCTGACGAAGGCAGGGTGGAGTGGCGACTTGCCAACTTCTTTGGCAATTTTCGAATTATTTAAATGGCAGCCAGTTCTTTTTTATTTTCTCTCTACTTTTATTTTTCATTTACGCACGCCTTCGTGTGTAGCGATGCCGATAATTGCAACAAAGCAAAAGTTTCCAACGTTCAAGAGCCACCAGAAAAGTAGGCAACACTTTGACAACGAACACGAAGGATATAAAGGATATAAAGCAAAAAAAAAATAGGAGAAAAATTGCCGCTGGTCAGAAAGTTTTCCACTGAAAAGATTTGCCACAGCTGAAGCACAAAAAATGTGTTTGGGATAGCTGCAATTAAAAAAGGGATTACGATCCTAGCCAGACTTTCGATTTGCTCCTTGTTCACTTTTCATCCTTCTCCGAGCTCCCAGCCACCCCAACTTCCTTCCTTCCGGTCCTGATTTTCTTTTCGCTTTTCGATTAAAAGTTTAGCAAATTAAAATCGTATAATGACGGTGATTAGGCCAACAAGTGCTGCAGGACATTGTTGCGGCCCAACAGTGCTGAAAGCGGCTTTAAAGAGCTGCTGAGAACATTTCGGCCATAAATATGAAATTGTGCCACCAACACATATAATTAACGTGTGAAATTTATTTCGGTTCGCAGCTGGCAGCTTGCAGAAATTTGCATAATGAGCAAGAGAAGAGAAATTGATTGTTATTACTCGTGTTCTGTGTTTTCTTTTTTATTGTAGCGTACTGGCTTTTCCATTTTTTGTTCTTTATTATAAATTAAACAACTTTATTTACTCAATTATGTTACGGTTGTGAGCTATTTACATTTTTGGGTCGATTCTTGTTTTGGGTCTGTTTTGCTTAAATTTAAAATATGCATTTCAATTAGGTATATATTTATTTATGCTTAACAGTGGAAAGCAGCAACAACATTTAACATAGATTTTTTCCATATTTATTATACTTACATATTAATTTATTAAATATTTTTTTTTAATAGGCTTGCAGTTGAAAATGTTCAAGAGGTGTCGAGAAATAAACATTCCAGGCTAACCAATTTCAGAATTAACATATTTCCATAATTATTGCAACATATTTGAAGATGAGAATGTTTACAGAAATTTAAGAATTCTTGCCCCCCTACACTTATTTTCCGCACTGTTCACCCTTTTAATGGTTAACTTGATAAATACCACACCACAAAAAACAACTTAACCGAAAAGTAACTAAAACTAAACTATAGATAATTTCACCGTTTATCAGCTAGGCGTTTCATTTGCAGTGTCTGTGTTTTTCTTTTTCATAGAGTATCACATTTGTTGGTATATCGGTTCGAATCCAGCAAAATAGTTTTGCCATTCCAGAACTTAAATGTAATTTTGCGCCACCAGTTGATCGATTTCCTCCATTAGCTACTGGTGCTGTTCCGTCTCCATGTTCTTGGCACGCAGATACTTCAGCAGCATCTGGAGCGAGTCATAGGTATCAAAGTCGTCGAGGTTGCGCCTTGAGGAGGACATGTTTGTGGGACGGGGCATAGCCAGGGGGACGGGCAGCAGTTCGGGCATCACCGAGTGGTGGGTGATCAGGGCCTTCAGACTGGAGAACTCCTTGCGAAAGCCCTGAAGTGAAAATAATAATATGATTTTGGTTAGGAACCTATTGCTATTTAACTTAAAGTCGCCCAATCCTTACCTTAATTTTGAATCCTCTGGCAGATCGTAGTATAATATAGTTAGCTATTTTTGGCCCAGGTGGCGATGGAACTCTCAATGTCAGGGCGTAGCACCCTGGCTTGGAGCTGCTCTTGCGCACCAGAAACGCCCCTGGGCTCTTGTTTTGCAGGACCTCGACGGCAATATCCCTGGAGATTCCCGCCTGATACCAACAGGCATCCTTCAGGTCGCCCTCCTCCTCCTCGTTGCCAAAAGTGTTGGCCAGGCTACTGCTGCGCTGCCCGCTGGCTCCCTGATTCATCCGCAGGCGATTGGCGAAAATCTTGGGACTGGAGTTGGCTGCGAATAAAGGAGTTATACAAGTTTTCAGAATATAAAATTTATTATAATTAAATCATAGATAAATTAAAAAAGAAATCTGTTAAAGTTTAAAGTTAAATTCTTACCGCTACTGGTCTCTCTTAAATATCTTTTCTTCATGTTGAATTCGTTGTTGTCGTTCAGGTTGACATTGTCCAGCATTGGGATGGCTGTCAAGGATTGCCGGCAGGAATCACCGAACTTGCTGTCGATATAGGAGTCCTCGTTGATATATCCGTTGGAATACACCGGATGGCTATCCAGGGGCGCCGTCAATGGCGTCATGTTACCCACCAAAGGGCGCGATTCTTCATTGTGCCGCAAAAGACCCATGGTCAAGCGCTTGACCTGAAAGTTGAAAAGTTTAACATCAGATTACAGTTCTTTTTATAAGTTTCCTGTAAAGAGTTTACATATTTCTGAAAAAACCTATTTAAAGCCTTTAACATACCACCGAAAAAATTCCGATTTCGAAGCGTTCAAGTGGCAACAAAATTAACTACAATTTAAACACCTTGTAAGCCGACAAGGATCAGCAAAGGATGTTGCAGTCAAGGGCAACGTGGGCGTACGGGAGGCGTGGCCCGCAGCCACAGACAGAGGCGGAGCAGAAAAAAAGGATAGAATTTATTACCAAGAACCGCAGCGAGACAAAATGCTGGCAAAATGCGCCGCGCCACAAAAGGAAAATGCAGGCAAAACTTTTTTTCGGGTGTGCACTTAAACAGGAAACGGATGCTTGGACTAGGCATTACCGGCGGAGATGGCGGTGAAGGGGCTTGAAGGAGGACTAAAGACAAGGGACAGAGGAGGAGGCGGGCAGAAAACGAAGAAAGAGTGCAAAGTGCAGAAGGAACAGAGAAAGGCGCATAAATTCGTGGCAGGCTCTGCCGCCGCCCCTATATCCACTTTTTATAGTACATTGCCACCATCTAAAATGTTGCATAGCAAATGGCGGCTGTGGCGTACTAGGCGGAAATGTACCGCAGGACACAGGACTCGCTACCAGTAGCAGGAGCAGGAGCAGAATTGGAAAAAATAGGAACAGCGAACTATGTAGAGCAAGAGTGTTGACTTGTGGGTTGAAGAAACTACATGATCGACTAGATTTTGACTTATTTTCTAAATTAGGATGGAAAAAAATATAAAATAAAAAATATTATGACCAAAAAAGATATGAAAATTAATTTAAACTAATCACTCGTGTCTGATTGTAAGTACAGGACCACCCTGCCTAAGACATGCTTTATAGGGTAGCCAAGAGTAGCGGAAAAAGTGGCGGCCGGCAATAATTCAGATGCACCATGTTGAGATCGTGTTCTCCCTTCCCAGCCCGGCTCTTTTGTGTCCTGTTTTCGGGGTCAGTGGCTTTGAAAAAGTCTGACGGCGCTGGAACAATAGTTGTCTGCACGAAAGTAGACTACAAACTAAAGTCTAACTGGAAGCCTCGACTACTTTCCGCTCTGAAGCCTTCTGCTTTGCCTGCGAGTGTGTGGCATAATTTAAGGCGACATTGACAATGAGACGATGGTGGAGCTTTTGGGAGGACCCCCACCTGCCAACCACCTGGCTGGGTCTACCTGGCTTTCCTGCCTTTCCGGCTCTGACAGCAATTGTTTGCCCATTGCTGCATAATTCAGTATCCGAAAAAAAGTGTGCTGCTTACGAGGTGGATGGTGGCAGCGACATTGTTTGCATATTTCACGGCGCATTGCACACTGATTGCGGCCATGTTTTTGGGCCGTGTTTGTATTGGTGGAGTTCATTTCTTTCGTATTTGCCGAAGGATATTTCAGGTGTTTACATTCCGAGGAGTGAGCTGAGCTCACCCAGTCCATTCCTGGCTTTTTGTTTTGTTTACAATTCGGCTTTTGCTCATTTCTTGAAGCGGAGGGAAATCCACTCCATTTCTGAATAAATATTTCACATTTTTTCGTTTTGGCCTGGCCTACACTAATTGCCTTGTTCGTTTAATGAACTGCCAGCTATCTGGACATTAGTGGCAGCTGTTGCCGAGCCAAAGAGGCGGCACGTGCCCCCCAAAAAGGCAACAAAGAACACTTGCCGCAAAGTGTTCAACATTTATGCAAATTTAATAAACTGCCTTGGCAAAGGATAAGGCAGCCAAGGAAGCCAAAAACGGGGCTAAATAAAAAGGCCAAGCGAAAGTCGAGCGAGCTTAAATCAAAAACACCAACTGGTTCTGTGGATGGGTGGTGGTGGTAGTGTGGGTGTGTGTTTGCAAAGGAGGGCGTGGCACACAAAATATTATTTATGGCATTCGAGCTGAAAATATATTCTGTGCACACATGATACATGGATAGGCATGACGGGGCCAAATCGGAGATCCGAGCCAAACCAAACGAATCCGAAACCGAAACCAAGCCAGACCATGCCAGGCCGCATTTGGCGGCTGATAGCTGTGGTATCAAGTGGTTCACTCAAAAAAAATCCTATATTTAATTAAAAAACATTTTTTTTAAAGGTCTATTTAAAGCTAAAGCTCTTTAACTTTAATGTTGAATGAGTTATTAAATTTTCATTTCAAAATTTGTGTTTATTTTAAGCTATTAAAGCCTAAATGAAATTATTTTCTGCATATTTGTTTATTAAATCCACATATATTTTTTGTTAAATAAATACATTTTTGTTTGGAGTGGCAGGAACAGGGATGTCGTGTGAGGATTTCGTTTGTCGTTGCAGTTGCAGTTGCTAAACAAACATTTAGCGGCACCGAGTCAACAGCATCGATGCATCAACGCCGGCAGTGAGCCAAGCCGAGCCATGACAGACAGTGCGTCATTTCCGTCTAAGTTGCATGGCATGGAAGGAACAGGGGGATGGGGGTCAGGACTCTCGTGCTGCCATGGACAAGGATATGCGGGTGATGTGGCACTCAGACTCCGACTCAGACAACCGACAGCAAACTGCATAATGTGGCAACGCATTTGTCTTTGACTCCTGCCAGGACATGGCTCACGACTCACCCCCCTCGGTGTGGCAGTGCCCCTTGGCCCACCGTTTTTGGTCGCATGTGCAGCAGTTGCCTGCTGCTTTATTTTCCTTATCTGAAATTGAATCAGGCAGCCAAGCAGACGTCGTCGTCGACGACGACAGCGACAGCGATGGCAAGTTGCCTGTTGGGCACAATTAGGGAAGCATCACGCCCCTCTTCTGTAGCATAATACTCCGACCCTGCGCGCTCCCACTCCTAGCTAGTCCTCCCATGAGGGGAAGCAAAAATTAATTTGCTTATCGGGCCGCACCCTGAAACAGAATGATGTTATTGACAGGCAGCAGCATGTTGAACCGCAAAAACGGAAAGGACTAAAAAACTATGCAAAACAAAAGGATATGCCTGCCGTGCGGGCCGAGCGTACCATGCGGCGTATGCGTGTTATTTGCTGTTGCCGGCGAAAAATGTTTATAGCCAAAATTGATTTATTGACAAAACAAGGAAAGCGAACTGCGAGCAGCATGCTGGCAGTAATATGAAAAATACCAAAAGCGAAAGCCCCAACGAACCCTTTTTTCGTCGCTTTTTTGTTTTTCCATCCATGTTGTTTTTTAACCCTCGGCATATGCGGTATTTCAGGACCGGGTATGGTCCTTGTATTGACAATATTTATGGTTTACCATTAGGACCAACTGATTGCTTTTCGCTTTCGATACGATTTCAATTTCTCAAAGTGTTTTGCATGCCGTCGGTGTTTGTGTGTGCTGTTGATGTTTCAGTTTCAGTTTTCGGTGTGTGACTTGGCCTTGATTCGATTTGATTTCAGTTACATTGCAACCCGGACCAGAATCCTGGTGGAGGGCTAGGTGGAAGCCATTAGTTTACAGACGTAATCACCATAATGCGCAATCGAGTCGCATTGCTGCCATAAATAAGACAAACACATAACGTATACGCAGTGTGGTCCTCGCTCGTCGCTAGTCGTTCGTCCAGAGAGTCTCACTCTCGTATGAATAAACTCGCACGTACTTATCGCATAGACTATTCGCTCGACTGAGCACAGCTGCCTCAAGTCTATATCCACCAGCACACCACACGGCACACACCAGCACACCACACACAACACACATGTATGAATATTTAAGGCGTTGAATTTATGAAAACAACGTGCCGCAAGTCGAAGTCCTTGTTCCCGTCGACGTCCTCTTCTGGGAAAGGCTAAAGTTTTGCATTGCAAAACTTCTCGATCTCGTGCCACCGCCCATCACGTGACAAAGAACACGGGCGAAACATTTGATAAACATTTCGCATGTGGGCAGCCCTTCGACGTCTACGTGTTATGAAAAAGACTGGAGAAACTTGGATGCATTGGGTTGGTATTCCTACAGCAAGGGAGACAGGGGCAAATCCGACAAAAATCCACAAGCAATCCAGCAAATGGTCTGTAAGGACCTAAGGGTTGCCGGGGCTTAGTTGTCTAAAGTTTTTTGCCTTTGAGAGGAGAAGCTAAGCTCCCCACCCGCGGGAATTCTTTTTGTGCCAATAATTCATAACAAAGCGTTGAAAATTCGGGCATTTTTTTGGCCAGTCCTTGAGCCAAAAATAAAAAAACGAAAAAAGCGAAAACCAATAAACCAAGTAAAAGTGTTTCTGGGGCCACTCGTACCCTTATCAAAGTCAAATCCCTCAAATATGTTTGATCTTCGATGGTAAGCGAAATATTTGCCATACTTTGTCGAAGAAAATCACTTTGAAAGCCTTGAACTTTTAAGAAAAATTATATATCCCATACCCAGAGGTATTATAAATCCATAGCATTGAAAAGCTATTAGTCTTTTCTTCTGAACATACATATAACATGGTTTCAGAAACGTCAATTTTATTTTGCAAGGATAATTTTTTTATTAGAAAAGTATGGGACTTTTATTCAGGGGTTTGAAATAAGTTAAGTCTTAATATTATATTTATTTTATATGTATTATTTTTTAACTTACCAAAGGAGGCTTGTCAGCCAGTCGTTTGCAATTGTTCAGCTCGGTGGGCGAGTTGTCTTCATCAGAACTGGGCGTCTGGGCCACCTTCTCGTTGTCATTGCAGCTGTTTAAAATAATTTTAAATAATTTCATTAATTATATTTCTTTATAAAAAATTAAAAATGTGTCTCGTGTGTAGTATTATTTAATGAATGTGATTAAGCATTGACTGGAGGGATCTACTACGAATCGCGTATTATTTTGTTAGATACTCACTTGAGGTTGGCATGCGTGAATAACTGAAGAGGTCGGCGACGTCCTAAGGAAGCTGGTGACGATGGCGTGGCCAGGGAGGTCCTGCCACGGCTAATCGTGGCCAGTGGGGATCTCAAGGTGGCTGTATTGTGTGCAGCCTGTGGGCGATTGTTGCAGGACGATGATCGAAAGCGGGCTCCTGCTCCGGTTAAAACCGCTGCTAAATTGGCAGCAATTCGGTTATCGAACCGATTGAAATATGAATTTGAATTTGAGTTTGAATTGGGATTGGAATTGGAATTTGAATTCGAGTTCGAGTTAGAGTTGTCCGCCGTGGGCGAGGTGTTGTTGCTACTGCTGGTGCTGCCATTCCGATTGCCGCCACCACCCATGGCTCCTGCGGTGTTCGGCGTTGTGGATGTGGCTGTCGGCACTATGGTGGTGCTACTGGCACTGCTCTGGTCATAATCCAAATTATTGTTGGTTATCATTGCGGCGGCTTCGCTTTTGGGCATTAACTTTTGGCGGCGGGTGTTGTTGTTGATGCTCTGTGGGGCTTTGAATTATGGGCGCATATAAAAACGCTGCGGGCGGCTTTTGTCGCACTCGGTGTGTGCCCGCCAGGACAATTCAGGACATCGGCAGTCACCACCAGAAAGGCGAGACGAAAGCTCTGCCTTTATTAAATTTGACTAGAGTGGGTGGTGGGTGGTAGCCGCAGGGGTTCACTTGCTCCACTCTGGGTACTGGTTTCGACTGCAGCAAGGACGACGGCGGCAGGACGACGATTCGCAGATTTAAACACAGAATTAATTCAAGCGGAAATTGGCAACGAAGGCGGGGGGCACAGGCCATAGGGCAGTGGGGTGGAGAATTGGTTTGGGGCAAAAACCAAAACAAAAATTGAAAGCGTGAAGCATAAACAAAACCGGCAAGTGAGGCAGAGAAAGCGAATACGGAAACGCAAATGAAAACGCATAGAAACGAGAAATATTGAGGGAGACGAGAAAAGCCACAAAAATGCACATAAATAGGAATAGAACCAGGGGCGGGGATAGGGTGGGAGGGTGTGGCAGCCATGACGTCACAACAAAAAGCGCATAAATATCAGGATTCGCAGGACATTCATGATGAAGATGATGATGGTGTTGTTTTTTGTTTTTGGTGGTTGTTGTGATTGCAAACGGAATACATGATTTCCATATTGTCGTGGTGGTTTTTTTTATCATCCGAATTTTTTTGCAGTTCCCATTTTATGTAATTATTGATTTCGCAACACAATTCGCAGTTGTAAAGTGTTTTTATTATTTTTTGTTGCCAATTATTTGCCAATTTGGAAGCGCACAAGATAGAAGCCAATTTCGATGCGATTCGGGTTGTGTTTTAAGGCCAAATTTCATGTAAATAAAGAGTCGGAAAAATATGCCAATTTTTATAAAAAAAAGTTTTTCGTTTCACTTCTGCAATATTAAAATCTGCATTGAAAGTTTTCGCGGAAAGCGAGAGCTATCCTGAACATATATATATGGCTCTATCGATTTTATTTTGCAAACCAAAAAAGCGAAATTTCAATGCAAATTCGTGGCTAGTTTTTTCGTTTTTCATTTTTTTCCAGAAATAGTTTTTATTGATGTACTCACATTGGTTCGGGGGCAACCAAACTTTTCATTGGGCTTTTCTCCAGTGGATGCTGCGCCACGTTCACTGATGAAAGTCGGCTCTGCAACTCATGTGCTGAAAGGATGAAAGTTTAAGAAAGGATGGTTTAGATTTAATTAAAATCAACTTTAAGCCCCGCTCAAGTGTAAATACATAGGAGTATGTGTTTGGTATGGGGCCATTCAAGGCGGTTGTATGGCAATCATTAGAGACGTTCATAGTCAACACCTCATTAGGCGACTAATCAAGCGTGCTGGGCTGGGCTCGAAATAACAACCAGTTCAGTCCACTGGCAACAGATTAAAGGAGCAGCCACCTACACAGGGTACGCAAGGACGAGAAACAGGAGACGCAACATGGAACAAGGCGCCAGGCCACAGACACTAAACAAAACCAAAGCAAATCATCAAGATTGCTGCGGTCAAGGGAGGAGGAGGTCCTGCTACGAATCCCTGCTAGAGATGTGAGCGTGTTGCATCCAAAAGACGAGCACGAAACTTAATTACAGCAGAAAGAGAAAATATTTCAGAAAGTGGTAATAAATTAGGATAATTGTAAGCTGGAAATATAAAGACTGTTTTTGAGTAACATTTCATAATTTAGAATGGAGGTTAGACTGCAGATAGTACACCCTATTAATGAGAAGTAACTATTAATGTTAATAAACCATTTCTTCCAGTGACTGAGCAATGAAGTAAACACGAAGACGATGCCGCAAATAAAACGCACAGATTAAAGGATGCCCGGGTGAAATGTCTTCTTAATTACTTCGCCGAGTCCAGAGGCTGAGACTGCGAAGGATAAACAAGCCGTGGCAGAGTTGGCTTGAAAAAGAAGCAAACACAGGACACTGGTTGGTGGGCGGATAGAGGATAGAGGATGGTGGACTGCGGATGGCGGACGGTGGACGGGGAATAGCGGCTGGCGGATGGCGTAATTGAGAAGTCGCCGGGCTGGGAATTGGAATGGCCTGGCCCCCCGGTCTTGGGTTCCTGCGTCTGTAGCGCAGTTTAAGCGGAAGTAATTTAATTAATTACAAATGAAACGGAAACACGAGCAAAACCAAGGCGAACTCTGCCCAGCTAGACTGCATCGGGTGTCGATTGTTTGCCCAATGGTAGTATGATAAAAGGCCTTCCAAAAACCAAAAAAAAAAACATCAACCCGTACAACAAACAAACAAATGAGCAACAACAAGTGCTATACAACAAAGTTCTTTTTTGGTGGTTTTCCGGTTTGGCTTTGCATATGGGGAGCATAAATTGGGGAGCAGCCTAAGCGTTTTCCAAAACAACGGCGGTAATATTAAGGGACCAGTCCTCCCAGAAGAGCAATTAAATTTTTCTGGGCTCTAGAATTGCAAACTATTCGAAAAAAAGGCACTGATATTAAAACATATTACTATATAATTAGATAAAAATTTTATTTTAGGACTTTTTTATTTAATTCCTTCTTATTCATTCAATTATCTTCCTGTAGCATTTCCCAATAAACTTAATTTAATTGTAAGAAATTTCTCACAGTGCACAATCACGCATACAGACGAAAACAACGCACTCACACATCGGCATACGCATTAAGCACAGCTCATTTGCATTGCGGTTTTAATTGCCACAGAGAGAACGGTACAGGATGGGAGAGAGAGAGACGTACAACGATGGCAGAAGGAGATAGCTAGACATGGGCAGAGTGAGAACGGGCGATTACCTCTGGCCCAGTCCTGCACGGTTCGCTGGCAGGGCTTACAAGGATAATGAAAACAATTTAACGACTCTCCCGACAATTCACCGAGGCAGGGGACAAACGCCAACGAATCCTGGTTAAACAAATCTTGAATCCTTTTCGCCGCCTCCTGCATTTGCGTTTGCCATTAATTTTTATCGCCGCCACCCCGAAAACCCAGACTGCCCTCAACGAATGTTTCGTGTCTGCGCAAAATATATTCAGATATTTTTTGACATTTTAATGAAAATATTTTGCGTAGCAATCCAGAAAGTGAGCGCAAAAAAAATGGAATCCCAGTTAGCAAAGAAGGACTGGCGAGTAGAGCGATGAATCCTTTATCCTTTCACTGGCTTAATATTATTTTAACGAAGCGGATTCCCCACCGAGCAACAGGATCCCGTCGAGTGGGTCACTTTTAAGCCCTGCTGATGGCCAGTAATTAAATGCTTGACATACCTCCGGGTGTGAGGTTTTACGGGGGGAAGGATTAGCGCCGCTAAGAGGATGTCTCGACCGGGCGAAAATCCTGGACAGGCTGGCCGGCAAAAGTGAACAATTAATGAAGCCCGGCTTCATAAATAAACGGTATGAATTTCGCGCAGTGCAGGAATTAACTCGGAAGCCTGGCATTATAATTATGGCATGATGTTAAAGCGATTGTTGGACTGCAGCTGTCAGGTATGAAAAATAAAAACTGAAAGCTGCCTGGGATAAGTTTCAGGAAAGAGGGATTTTGGGGAATTGAGATTCCTCTTTTTATACCAAGCCAAGGATTGCAAGATCTTCACGTTAGTTATTGAATTAATAGTCTTAACTCGGAAGAATATAATTAAGAGTTTATTACAGCGCCGGGGCCATCCTGTTGCTTTTTTCCCGCCTTCATTTTTATTGCATTTTTCATCTCATTAAATATTTACAAATTCCCAATTTGGTTAAGTGAGCAGCGTGTATCAACAAGGCCGTAATAAAATCAACAAGCCTAAACAAAAAATATTTGTCTTCATGCAAAATAAGAGAGCAAGGACTAAGGAGACTGAGGCAAACAGCAGTCATGGCGGGAGTAGAGTTGTTCGCAAATTAAAAGAAATCAAAATCATATGAGAATTTTCAAGTGATTGCCGCATGTGTGGTGGGAGTCCTTGTACGATGGTTTTTGTGCCAGCAGGATGCGCGGGCCAACATAAACAAGCAATTTAACAGGCACTCACACACACACTCCCGCACCCCCTCCAGCTCAACACGCACACACACATACACGTATCCTTGAGGATCCGTCGCCAGTTGGCAAACAAACGAAGCGTTCAAGCGAAAAAAGCCAGGAAAAAAAAACTCGGCCAGCCTCGAAACAAGCAAAGCGTTTTATGTGCCGACATCAGTCTGTGTGCATGTGTGTGTGAGTGTGCCTTAGTTAGTGTGTTAGTATGTGTGCTTGAGTGTGGCACCGCAGCGCGCAGATTTCTGCCACCCACACAGCAGCCGCAGCCTTAAAGTATGCCGCAAGTTTTTGCCGCTCTTTGTTAATGAAATTTTAATCAAGCTGCAAGCGAAAAAAAGAGTTTGCCGAACAAGTTTGGCGAGTACACACACCATATCCTTTTACAAGGACCTCCCATCTCTTGCTTTCGCCAAATAGCCAGCAGCTTCATTAGACGTGGCGCCTCTGCCACCGCCTCAGTCCACACTGCGTATGCGTAATAATTTATTTAAAATGCAATTCGTTTATGCCAGACATTAATCATTCCGGCAACTGCGACAAGACATCGAACGAGTCACGTTCCGAGGCCGGCTGCATTTATTAACAATTTACGTCATAAATAAAATTGAATAACATTCATAATGTCAATGGCGGCAAGAGGAGGGCTCTGCCAGAAAAGTGAAAGACGTGAGAGCACGAGCTGATGGCAATTTCATAAATAAAACTGGGTGGCTGGTAATAGGAGGCTGAAAACATGGCTAAGAAGGGTGTGGATGAGAGCCAGGTTTACATAAATTAGACAACAAATTCCGGAACAAAATAAAAGCAAGGAGCAGGTAAAAGGTAAATCACTAAAGCGGCTCCACAATGACAACATTAAAAGCGAGTACGTTAAAAGGCTCCTAAGTGGACAGAGAAAAAAATTAACAAAGGATTCAAATAAAAAACCGGTTAATAAAACAGATTCTACTAATTAAATTATAGATATTTTTTTTTTCATAATCTCTTTCCATAATAATCATTGGCTTTTAAGTTTTTTTTTCTGCTTTCCCTAGTAATATTTTTTCCGTGTTGAATTTGCTAAAACACTTTTACTTTGAGCCCTAATTCCCTGGCCATTTTTTCTGCGGTATCAGGCCGTGTTGTTTAACATATTCCTGTTTTGCTGTGGCTGTTACGCCTTTTCCTGGCCGAATTCGAGTGAATAATGTTCGCTTCGCACGGCAAATAATTATTTTTCGCTTAGTGCCAACTGGCATGCTATTTGGCAGGATGGCAGGAGCTTTAAGGATAGCTTTCGGTCCTTTTCGCCCGCCTGCCAAGCCCACCGTTCATCCATTTCGGTCCTCAGTTCATTATGTGAAATTTGAAATTGTTTTTTTCTTCGTGTTTTTTACCTTTTCACTTGGTGGGTCCTTTGTGTTTTTTGCTGCGGGGCTCAAAAAAACCAAAAAAACACAAATGCCAACACGTTGGCTTGGCTGAGCAACCCCTCAAAAAGGTGTCGAGTTGAGCCAAATTACAAAAAATTGCCAACACCGCTGCTCGGAGTTGTTCTTTAATGATCTGAATATGCAAAACGAGTCAAACAAAGCGAGCGAAAAGAATTTTAATTAGTTTTCGGAATGCTTTTCGGTGCAATTAAAGCCAAAGTCAGCTCGTGCACGGGCTCCGGCTCGGTTTCGGGCAATAAACAAAACAATTATTATTATTCTGTGCCATGGTCGCTATTGAAATTTTGCATTCAACCGGATATGAAAGCAAAAATGTTAGCTATGCTTGGCGCACAATCGGTTAAATGTTTAAATTATTCCACAGAAAAATAAAAACGAACCGAACTAAATATGCAAAGCAAAGTGAATTTATTTGTGAAATACGTAAGCAATTGGTCGGCACAGAATTTGGAATGGCAGAATGGCAGAAATGGCCAAAATCAGGCCAAGCATCCGGCCAAGATGCCAATAAGAAACGGAAGGAAAATTCCCATTGATTTCTCTACCTTAGCCGAGGAGTTTACAAGGACAAGCCAAAACTATTTTATATTCAGCCAGAGACCAGAGCCGGAGCCAGGCGAGACGGAGGAGCAACAACGAAATAATTCGACTACCTTTCGTCCTGGCCATGTCTGGGCAATGTCCCATGACGTCCTCGCAGC